GTCAGAAGTTTGCTGGATGGGTTGAATATAATCAAGGAAACGAGTTAAATATTCAAAGTGATGTAGGTGGTCTTGGAATCGACCTTTAAAACAGTAAAGAAAATCACACCCACCAGTCTTTTGCAGAAACCGTTTCATGAAAGTCACTTCGAAAGACTCCTTCTGGTTTGTATCGATCTCTTTCAGATACCCATTGTATCTCTCAAAGCTGAAGAGCCAGAAGCCGTACAAGGGGCCGAAATCAAGGATCGTCATATCCAGATGCATATGTAAGTGCATATTTGGTGTTACTGCTTCTGCGCCATACCAGTCTTCAACACTAGTGCAAAAATTCAGCAAATTTGCGTGTACTAAATCGACCTCGCTCTTAGTAATCGATGGCTTTACTAGTAAACGGCATGCATTGACAAAAAGCAGCCAATTCTGAAGCAAACGATCTTCGAGGTGTCCCTGCAGCACAAAAGGTGAATACACTAGGCACCATGACTTCCAATCATCAGCAGTCATGAACGAAAAACCACTTTCGATCTTACGCTTCAAGGAAACATAGTCGGGTGGGAGGACAATGCCATCAGCCAGTCTAGGTATATGGTCATTCACAGAACAAGATCATGATATCCATCTATTAACAACGATAGCAACAAACGCAATAAAGAACTGCTACTAAAACTTACGTTTGCATTTCCTTCAGATCTCGATTTGTCAGATGCGCATCTTCGATCCAAAGTTTTGTCATATGTTTAGCAGTACCAAGGAACAAATTATGCATTGGGTCGATAATAGTACAACGAACGGGATCAAAGTAGCATAGGCGATGAAGCTCTGACCATCTCGTCCCAGTTTCACATTCGATCTGTCGCCGAGCAGCCATAGTAGCAGCATATTTCCATCGAGTGGCATCACCCAAATTGCCTTCCTTCGTGCGCAGCTCCCAATCATCGACTTCGAAACCAGAGTAGTTTATACTCGATGTACCCTCGAAGACGGCGAACTGGCGAAGGCATTTATGGCAAGCACAGAGGCTTGCATGGGACGTGAATCCACTAGTTTTTCGAGCAGCAGGGATGTCGCATGCATTGTTGAGCAAAGCTACCCGGACAAGAGCGCCTTCTGTTGGATTGCTGTAGGTGCTGATCCTTTTTCCATCATACCACTCCAACAATTCATCAACCAGTGGACGAAGGTAATGATTCATATCGGATGTACTTGGCTCACTTGGACCTGGCATGATACCAACAAGGATTACATTCTCTGTTTTAAAGCGCTCTGACTGCGGCAAGTTGTTGACAGTCAAGTATAGAGCACCGCACGAGTACATAGAATTGATAAACGGACCAAACCAATCAACGTTAAGCGTCAACAACAACGAATGATATAAAGAAACGAATGGGGCACCACTTCTATCAAGGATACCACGCCACATATCGCCATCATAGATGTCAAAAAATTTGTTTTCATATCGTGTGCGGGAACGCCATTGTTCAATTTTTGCCTCGAACCCTGGTCGCTTGAAAAGCCTCTGTATACTAGCAGCCAAGGGCTGGTACGCAAATTCCTTTACTGGAGATAGGCGACTCTTAATGCTTTGAACAATCTGGTGCCGCACAATCCTTGGTATCGAATGTCGTCATTGGTGCATTCGGTGGTGCAATCGTCGGATCGTTTCAGGTAGAGACTGTGGCACCGGGAACACGACACATATAAGACGATGTTGTCTGTTAAGACAGAGAAGCCATTATACTAGCAGGGTAGCAAGTGAACGAGGGATATGGGCATCCGGGCCAAGGAGATCTGCAAGCAGGACTGAGAAAAACTCGATAACTATGCCTGAAATATGCTCAGAAAAAAAATACAACTGGAACAAGACAAGGAAAACGAGGACGAGTGCAACTGGATGTCGATAATGCTGAAGTAGCATTCTTTCTGATGCTGAATTATCGAGGTAAGTGATATCTTTTTTTAAGAAACACTTATTTAGTATTACTATGCAAGTGAATATAATAAAATTGTCCTTTGGGAACCGACCTCCTGTTATATCGACTATATCGTCTTCCTCGTTGCTGTATCCCCACTCAATGTCGTCCGCATCCAATACACGAGCATGAGCACCAACCACAGTCTCACTATCGCTATCACCACCGTTTTCGAATATGTTATCCTCAATGTCGAGAGGTATTCTGCGGTTGGCATTGACAGCTACATTCAGAGATAATTCGTTATTAGTCGATCTATCAACAATTCTACTCAACAACTCATCATACCTTGAGGACGAGGGTAGGGAAGTGAAAGGGACTGCGGAGACGAAGGATGAATAGGAGAAGGGGGGTTGCCATCATCAATATCCATCGTATCATCACCATAATCGTCTATGTCCGCGTTAGAATTGCCTGCTGGTGGTGGCAAAACACTGGATTCACCAGTACTATCCATGGTTACGCCATTGCCAACTGATGATTGGGACGTGTTATTGCTCAAGGATTCATAGAGAGCGATCATACTAGCCACTATATTCGAAGTCAAATATCATTACTACCATACTGATGCTTGGAAAAGTAGCTTATAAAATACCATCCTGCTGTGTCTCGCCTCTTAGTACAACGTGATCACGCTCATCGTGGTTTTGCCGTACTCGATTTGTCACCAACTCATAACCCCGTGGGTTTGACCTGCTGCACGTTCGACAGTAGCAAGCAACCATACGTCTATTGCTTGCCATTATACATCAACAAAAAAGCGAATGTAGATAAAAGATTAACCTCAAAAGAATTCACTTTTATATAAGAAAAAGCTTCCCTTGAACGGGGTCGTGTTTAATAATTCAGCGGTTGTTGCTCCTACACTGTCCCTAACTTTTCAAATCTCTACTTAATCGCATTGGTCATTCACAACAATGAAAAAAAAATAAACGCATTCTATCAGCATCGTAAAACATGTGCTGCTTTGTAATACGCTGAGAATGTTTTTATATATAAAAATGCTTTGTAGCATCCTTTTTTTTGGATCCAACTGGTTTCAGTATGACATCAAAATATATATACAAGAGTGGCATTTTTCAGCACTTTGCATATGTTTGTAAGAGAGCAGTATGAAAAGTACACATGATCTTTTGAAGCAAGGGCTGTTAGGGGATTATGAAGATGCAGAACAGTGGTAGTGCGAGACCCGTTACTTTTTTTTTAGGTACATGGAATGGTGCATGTTGGTGTACGTGAAAAAAAATTCATAAAAGACTTCTCTTTGTAACGAAAGCATACACTCGGAGTGCTTCATCCGATGTATTGAGTAACTAACATGAAGTTCTGTTCTTGCAGCTATTGCATATACTGGGAGCTTTTTAAACCAATATAGTAAGTTTATATATACAAACAGAAACTTCATGCATAACCACCGCATCCACTCTCTGAAAACCCCCCAACTTCTTTGGGGGCACACCTTGCCTCTTTATATACAAATATCAAGGTCTTTTAAAAGCCCTTGATATTGGACTTTTCGCGCGGTGAATAGAAGTCCCTGCCTTAATAACCAAAATAGAAATGGGCTTGGTTTTTTAGTGTCAGAGTTAAAAATCATTCTAGGAATACTTATCTGTCTTATTATCCATTTCAGTTTCAAAATTGTACTCCTCTGACTATCAAAGCGGTCGATGCCCATTGTTCATTGTGTGGTAAACTAAGATCCGGTACAGATAGATGTCTTGATAGAAAGTTTCTCTTTACCGCACTGGGATGCAATAAGGGAGGACACGGTTGCGCACATGTACCTAGCTGGATTGAAATATGAATCCTTCATATAACTTAGATATAAAAGAAGATAGTTTATATAGCTGATATTGTACTTCGTTCAATCTTTTGAATATAATCCATTCTCAAACGACTTACTTGTCTTTGTTTATTTCGATTTACCACTTATTGTCCCAATCCGTTTATGAGAATACATCACTGTTACATGGAGTGTGATTAATTTCATAATAGCGGAAATGATATCTGTATTGCTTTCTCATGGGTCCATGGACTATTTTGTCGTAGCTGATCTTTGAAGATGTGAACCAATGGTTCTCGCAATTTTGGTTGTACGAGGTCACTTTTCAGTTGCTCGTCGTATAAGAAGATCATTTCGGCTTGCTTCAACTACCGATGAGAACTATGGATCTCGTCTTGAATTTCGAATCTTATTAATTGTCCAAGCTTTTATAAGGTCCTTCTTTACAAAAAAAAGCTAACGTAAACTACATCATCACAGCAGTAAATATTAGCCTCATGTCAAACATATTTGGAATTAGACAAGATAGTTTAAGGAAATAGTGATCACATAAGATGGAAAGGAAATCCAGACATTATAAGAGTAAAACGCATACTATAACGTACGGAAAAGTACGTGTCTAGTATCCTACGTGTTTTTTTTTGCTCTAGCTGAGAAATTAGGTGAGGTATTTCATGCAAATGTAGTTATGAAGCTCAGGAACGTGGAATATACGTGATTTTATAAACATAGTAATCGCCGTGGGTCACATCATGACGTGAACGTAACAAAACTGGTATATGATCTTTACTTAACAAAACTCCACTCCGTATTTTATCCTGACCAAACCGGCAATCCCTACTATTGATCATAACAATAAGATCCAAAAGGTTATAAAGGAGAATACCAATACTTGCCATCACAAGGAACCGCCAAGTTATCGAATGTGGTATGTGGTCTTTGCGTAATACTTTTGCTCGTGTCCGGCTACCGCTGAGAGTCAAAAAAGATGAATGTTTGGAATGTGTAATTTTCGTGCGGGAGAAACTATTATAGACAAAATCGCACTGGTCACAACGAGTGATGGTTCCTTAAAAACAGCAGTAGAATATAGTAAAGAATAAACTTTGTGTAAATGCTAAATGTATAATGTTCGATCAAATTTATTCGGCATATAGTTAAGACTTTCACAATCCTTATTGTTGTAATATTCTTATTAACTGTGTTTTCCAGCATAATTATTTAACGTAGCGTGAAGTATTTTGATATTTGAGGGACAGTTTATTTTACCAACGAGAAAATACAACATATTAGAGGTGTATTTGTATAAAAAAGGTTTCCCAAAAGTGCTATGAGCCACGATGATAATGTAGATCCTTTTGTGCAAATAGAACTGTCGCCGTCCAACATAAGTATAATTTGTATTTAGCTCTTCGTTTGCTAATACTTCGAAATAACTACCATCCTGCAGACTAAATTTTTAGAAAGAAAAGCGAAGCAAAATCTATTTGATTATTTAAATGCGAGATTAGTTGATAAGGGTAAGGTCCACTTTCGATGATAATCCATAAAGCCACTTTTAATACTACGGTAATATTAGTGCACCATGTTTCAACAACTATAGCGACCGATGCGATACGAATCACTGATGGAATTGGATGTTTCTTTTTATAACTTTGCATTTACACTGTGGATAAAGTTGGGGAAAGGAAAAAGAAAGAAACAAATTTGGTTTAGGCGCCATATCCCCGTATCTTTTCTGCAAAAGACCACTCGGTATCCACAGAGTAAGGTTCGGAGACATTGACACCTGCTTCTGTGATTGTTGCTCTTTGGAACTATAGGTGTACGAGTAAGCTGATCAGTATTCTCTGATGGAAAGGACGAGGTTATCAAAAGGCAAAATCGAAATAATACCTTATTCATGGACCGGGCGTCGCGATAGAACAGGACGCGCATACAGTCATTGATAATATCGATCGCTTCCTCCTCAGTGAGATCATTTTCTCTGCCTTCAACACGCTTTCGCAGGATGGGCTGTGCTAAATGTGCACCAAAGCCAGTAGCAATGGTAGAAGATTGATAAGTGGTGCCTCGCAGATCGACATATCCAAGATACCTATATTTAAGGAGAGGTAAACACCGTATAAGCAAACCACATATACAGCATAATTGATCCACCGTATATCCACATACTTTTCGCCCTTATGCAAACCACCGACGATGAGAGCGTTCCAGAGCGGATTAAATTTGGATCGTCGACTGTACATCATCCGCCAAAGATATTCAAATATGTGTGGTGTACCCAAAACATGGCCGTCGTCATGGCAATGCTCCTTGACCCTGCGAAGACGGGAGAAAGATACAATAACTACGTAAGCGCTCCAATCATTACCCTCATATATGTGCAAATTACTGAGAATATAATTTACATGAGCGACTCCAAGACGTGTTGAATATACTGCTGGTCCGAGAGATCGCCCGATGCACCAACGATAGTAAAATCGCCTACTGGCATCAATCGTTCAATATCGCGGAATCGAGCGAGAGAGCCGTACGATCCTGTATAGATTGATTGTCAGCGTCTGTTGTTGGAGAAACGATCGTTCTGTTACAGACAAAGCTGTAGCACCTACCGAGCATGTCTGCAGCCATCATAATACCATCACGGTATTTCAAGGCAATAACTGAGGTACCTGTAACCAATGGTTGTCTAATTTTATTTTATCAAAAGCAGGAGAGCGAAATGAATTGTTAATCAACTGAAGTATCAAAGAGCAAATTATTCAAGAGCGACAATTACTGTGTTCTTGTGACTGGTCCATATGCAGACTGAGCAAGATTGTCTGGTAAAGTCTTGTGGAGTGGAACAGTGTTGTATTCATCAATGTTTTCGTTGCGAGGCTTGCCCCAGCGCGATGGAAATGCGTCCATGGTATAAGTTGAAGTTGTGTGTTGCGTACGCGTCCCCTCGCTGACGGATTTGAGGGCAAGTGTTGAAACTCAGCAGAATCCTGCTGGCTGCGCTGATTGACTTCGTTAATTGCAACCAATGACCTGCTACTGTTACAAAACGTCTCCTACTGACAAGGTATTGCATGGATTCCAGCTCTAAGAGAGTGGTAACCAGTATGTTTTCTGAGAGCTGTAAATCAATGAGTCTTGATAAGAAGTATAGTATGTCGGTGCATCAACGGTATGTCGTAGGAACGAAAAGACCTGTACATATCAGCACCTGCCTCGATCTTGAACACAGCGAAGTTTTTTCCTTTAAATTCTTAGCCATGTTAAAACCAATAGCACGATAACGAATACAATTGAAAGTTAAAGAAAACAGCTCATCTCACGAATATAGACTAGATACTAAGCAGGACGAATGGGTGCAATCATGACTGACCATGTTCATATCCACGCGTCTACCAGCATTTCATTTTCAGAGCAAATGCGAAAGCAAAGTAAGGGGATAGTTTAAAAAAATACACTGCAAAAATGAAGCGCAGAGTGGTAATACTTTATGTTGGGTAGCACTATGACTGCATTGCGTGACAAGCTGTAGTAATCGATATAGCAGGTCATGTGAAGGTACCGGTTTGTCCGTATAATAAAATGATATATTTCTGTTGATATTGTTCTTGCGAAACTAGAAAAATCCACAGCTACACTGTTGAGAACGGAAACGACAAGGATAGGGCCTGTAAGACATGTCTGGGCTTAATAACAGTAATTTGGAATAAAAAAGCAACAACCCATAAAAATACCCAAGAGTACTTACGGCTTTCTACGTACACTGCTTACAGGGTACGTCATCCTCACTATACGGTAATACAAAAAGGGTTTAGTCGTTGATAAGAAATTGTCATCGTGCCAGGTGCACTTACCTGAGTGAAGGCGCCGCCGGGCAACGCAGGACTCAACCAGAGCCGTGCTCCTTACTAGTGGGCTATGCAACATTATAAAACGAAGAAATTTATCAGAACTGATAATTCTCACACGAATGACAACTTCTCACACAGCTTCACAGCATAAAAGCACAACTCACATGACGCTACCCTGTGCAGGTCAGTGCCCGAGAGAAAGAGAGAGACAGAGACAGAGACAGAGACAGAGACAGAGCAAGCAGAGCGAGAGAGACAGAAATTTAGAGAAAAATCGAAAAGAATGTTAGACCAGGTTGCAAATAAAGAATCACGATCGTGACGATCAAACAGCAACTGCAATGACAGAATGTTAATGAATGCATACGTACAAAAAGCCAAAATTCAAAAAAAAAGATGCGGGGCAAGCGCGAAGAAAAGCAGGAAGAAAAGCCAACGTCTCGAGAGTCGTGCAGTATGCTACTTTTATAATCTTTTTGATCTCATATCAATCACAAGGTTCCACTAGTGTCGTCAGCAGCATGTTTCATCAATGACCACTGGTTAAATAGAGAATGGACTCCTTTTTATCGCACACAAAGGGATCGCTTTATCTTTAACGCTGATTCTTTTGACAGAGCATACTACTATTTAGTCTACCATACAAACATTCTATCCGTGATCAAACAAAACGTAGGTGATAAATCGTGTATCAATTATGCGCAAATTCATTACGCAATATAAAATAAAGGACCTTGGTATAAACAAATGGCATTGCATGAAAGTAATGTCCTTGCACCTGTAACCCTTTGTAACCCCTGCAATTAATGTCGTTGATATTATGAATATTGGTTCTTTCAACTAGAGACACTACAATGGTACATGATGGTGATACGACGCGATCAAGTTAAAATTACAGCAATGTCATGCACCAGTATTTTGAAGTGTTACACATAAAAGCTTATTCAGAGCTGTCATTGGCTGCTTTAAGGATTCTTATACAGCCTTCTGATTGGCCAAAATGTAAGCCCAGGATAGCTGTCCGCAGCTGAGCGTCTGGTGCCCTAAAAATTTAGTAGTCACACTGAGAGTGCGTAAGTGAAATCGGCAGCACAGGTTTGCCACTGTAGAAACCTTCTCTCTCTCTTCTGAAAAGGTAAGCTGATATATCCATCCGTCAAAAGCATCCATCCATACGCCAGAAACATCCATCACTCATTGTATCTGCGGTATTATAGTCGCCATGGGTAAGGAAAAGACTCACGTTAACGTCGTTGTCATTGGTCACGTCGATTCTGTAAGTAAATGAGGAAATGGTGATTTGTGAAAATGCTCAAACTGAGCTTAATGAGTGTTTCATCTGAAAACGGTGCTAATTCATTGCTACTTTAGGGCAAGTCCACCACTACCGGTCACTTGATCTACAAGTGCGGTGGTATTGACAAGCGTACCATCGAAAAGTTCGAGAAGGAAGCCGCTGAACTCGGTAAGGGTTCTTTCAAGTACGCCTGGGTTCTTGACAAGCTCAAGGCCGAGCGTGAGCGTGGTATCACCATCGATATCGCCTTGTGGAAGTTCGAGACTCCCAAGTACCACGTTACTGTCATTGATGCCCCTGGCCATCGTGATTTCATCAAGAACATGATCACTGGTACTTCCCAGGCCGATTGCGGTATCTTGATTATCGCTGCTGGTACTGGTGAATTCGAAGCTGGTATCTCCAAGGATGGTCAGACCCGTGAGCACGCTCTCTTGGCCTTCACCCTCGGTGTCCGTCAGCTCATCGTCGCCATCAACAAGATGGACTCGACCAAGTACTCTGAGGCCCGTTACAACGAAATTGTCAAGGAAGTCTCCACCTTCATCAAGAAGATTGGTTTCAACCCCAAGTCCGTTCCCTTCGTCCCCATTTCCGGCTGGAACGGTGACAACATGTTGGATGAGTCCCCCAACATGCCCTGGTTCAAGGGCTGGAACAAGGAAACCAAGGCTGGTGCCAAGAGCGGTAAGACCCTCTTGGAAGCCATCGACAGCATCGATCCCCCAGTCCGTCCCTCCGACAAGCCCCTCCGTCTTCCCCTCCAGGATGTCTACAAGATCGGTGGTATCGGTACTGTCCCCGTCGGTCGTGTCGAGACTGGTGTCATCAAGGCCGGTATGGTCGTCACCTTCGCTCCTGCTAACGTGACCACTGAAGTCAAGTCCGTCGAAATGCACCACGAACAGCTCGTTGAAGGTGTTCCCGGTGACAACGTCGGTTTCAACGTCAAGAACGTTTCCGTCAAGGATATCCGTCGTGGTAACGTCTGCTCTGACTCCAAGAACGACCCCGCCAAGGAAGCTGCCTCCTTCACCGCCCAGGTTATCGTCTTGAACCACCCTGGTCAGATTGGTGCTGGTTACTCTCCCGTCTTGGATTGCCACACCGCTCACATTGCATGCAAGTTCTCTGAGCTCTTGGAAAAGATCGACCGTCGTTCCGGTAAGAAGTTGGAAGATGCCCCCAAGGTAAGAAATTAGTTCCTATTGCTAGATTGAGTTGGTTGGGAAAACGTTTGTAGTGCTCGAGTTTGCTAATGTCATTTTTGTTGTGGATATAATAGTTCGTCAAGTCTGGTGACTCCGCCATCGTCAAGATGGTTCCTTCCAAGCCCATGTGCGTTGAAGCCTACACTGAGTACCCCCCTCTTGGCCGTTTCGCCGTCCGTGATATGCGTCAGACCGTTGCCGTCGGTGTCATCAAGGCCGTCGACAAGACTGAGAAGTCTGGCAAGGTGACCAAGGCTGCCCAGAAGGCTGGCAAGAAATAAATGACCTAGTATTATGAATCTCTTCTGTATTCCGGCGCATTTATTACTGCTTATAAAAAAGATTTAAAGAAGGCCTATGGTTTTTTTGTGTAAAAATAAAATGATTCAATTCCTAAACACACTCTCTGTGATTGGTGAACGGACAATGCTGTACGACAAGTTCTAGCTCAAAGGTGCTGCTTAACCCTAGAGTGCCTATACCATTGATGTATCCCACGTTGAACATTAGCAGTGAAATGCTTCAGCGAGAACACTCGTTTTGGTGGATCAAGGCCAAAGGGCTTGAGTGGGGTGATGGATGTTCTGAAATGATAATAGGACTACTGAACAAGCAATTGTGAAATTTGCAAACACTGGAAGTGCGCGGTACGATGACACATTTTTCTTTATGATTTAACTAACTTTAACTTACTTTCAACTCGGTGCTGCTGTTAGTATATCATGTGCGGGATGTACAAGCAGGATGAAGAGCGTCCATTCGTATCCATGTCTTAAATAGATCGCTTTTTCGGAGCAGTAACAACCAGCATCTGAGCTGTGATGTAAAGACCACAATGTTTGTAGTTCGAAGTAACTTATTTTATACAATGCTCAGTCATGCCTCTGTCCAAAATAACACTCAAGCGGTTGTGTACTAAATAGCCTTCTGAATAAAACACTGTATATTACTGCCCTAAGTTATTTTATAAGCACGCACCATTATGGATGGTGTCGGCAAGCTAGTATTGCTTTGACGTCAAAATGATCACTTGGTGGATTTCACCTTGCGCAGTAGCACCAGCATTCTAAGCATGGAAATAACCTTTGTATCTGTGTGAGCGACCCGCATCATTATAGTCACACAACGAAAACAGATAGAAAAAATAGTTCTTTCATAGATCAAATAGTATGTACATGGTAACAATCACTTTATCTCGCCCGTCCACGACCCCTAAAGCTGCCTCTTCCGCCACGACCACTACCCGCAAACGGTGCATTTTTCCTGGGAATTTTCATGATATCATTTGAAAAGTCTGAAATGATATGGCATCTGGTGCGATGACCTGGCCAGCCCGACCAGCCTCCTAGTGTAGCTGGATTGCGCATATTAGGCTGTACATGAATCCGTCCCTCTCGTACCGCCTTCTCAAAGTCTCGTCGCTTTTTGCTTTTTCGATGCTTCTTGGTTGGCTGTTGTTGCTTTTGATCGAGAGGTATGTGAGTGACACGTTTAGGATATTGCATGGCGTAGTACGGCTGTTTAGACTGTACAAGAAGATCGTTGTAGTCGACAGCTGCTGCTTGAATATGTTCAATGAAATCCGGTTCATTTTCTTGTTCAAAATCCACGGTTTGCTGCTTTGCTGCTAGTTCTGCCAACATGTCCGCCGTATCATCGTCCTTTTCCTTAATATTGACTTGAGCAACAGGTTTGCTAGAGAACAGCCGAAATGCAAATGCTTCTTCTTGTTTCTCTTCTTGTTCGCTTTCTTTCGGTTCTTCTGCATCAGCAGCTATGGTGGGAGGATAAAAAACGTCAAATAATTCATCTTTACAGGAGCTCCTTCCCCAGCCCAAATTCCTGCATATGACGATATATTTACCATTTGTATCGTCAGAAACGTCAAAAGGAGTGCCCATAAGCTGTTGCATTAGTGCTTCCATTCTTTGTGAATCGCTAGCTTTTACAGAGTTGGCCATTTCATCTTCATCGTCAAAGATCTCGGTGCGATTGGCCACTCGTGTGCCAGGGATCGTATGCGCGGACAAATGTTTCTTTTTACTAGATCTAAGATATCAGAGTGTGAGGATTTAAGACGGATAAGAGGTCAAAAGTGTTTGCATTATCAACGATCTTTACGGTTCGGCCATTAGGTGCTGGTGCAACAAGTTGTCAAGTCAAGAAAAAAAATCCTCACCCCGCTCAAGAACCACATGAAACGCCACATAATATTGAAAAAATCAAATTTGTATTGCAATGAGGGTAGCTCATATAGAGTATTTACAAACGCTGCGCGTTGAATTGATTCAAACAGACGAGATGGTCTCTGCAAAAGGAAAAGAAAGACATGTGGTGGAACGGCGCTCAGGTCTTTTGTGCCTGTTCTGTTGGGTTTATGCCATGGCGTGCTAGGATAAGCAACAGAAAACATCAGAGAGCATGATTAAATCAAAAGCACATTGCCAGGAAAGAAGGAAAACCCATCATTTCATTACCTTTTTCGTGTAGTCCTTTGCCGTTTTATTGTACTTGGCACGATTGGTATTGTAAACTTCGGCAATGGAGCCCACCAATGCATCATCCGGATTGGGATGCTCCAACAGCATGGAAATTGCTTGGAGAACTATTTAGCCGGAGTTGGTCAGTTCACCACGCTACTTTAGCTCAAATCGATCAATACCATACCCTGCGAAACGCGTGTGGCTGGCTTCCATACATCCGCTTTAAGCAAATCAACGCAGATTGAGCCGTCGTCATCGATGTTGGGATGATAGACCTTTGTGATAAACTTGACCTGTTCCCGTGAGCCCATCCCGCCCCATGTCGTGAAACCGTCAGCAATGAAGAAAAAAAATATACATGCAACTGCACTGAGCAAGAACGGGGCCACATAATACTTACAGTGGGCGGTTTAAATGGGTAATCCGCAGTGAAATTTATATCAAGCTTGAACGTACCCCCCTTGTAAGGGCTGTCAACCTGTCGAAAGCATTAGATTGACGTACTATGCATGCTGCGCATCACGAAAAGAAAGAGAGAAAAAACTACTTACTGGACCTGCTATTGAGCCTGGTAGAGAAAAAAAACCAACAAGTTTTAGCCATTGTAAAATCAAGCAGCAACATACACCGATTTAGCCCATTTTAAAAGAAGTTTGTGCCCATACCTTCCCACTTAAACAAGTCATCGTTGACAGGACCAGCGCTAATGCCTGGAGGTGGATTCTTGGTTAGGTCTCCGAGTTCCTAATAGCAAATACACAATTGAAATCAGCAAATAACACCAACAATAATTTTGGGCTTAAGCTTACTCGCTGAATGCGCTTTAGAGCCATACTGAAAGATAAAAAGGGAAAGAAAAAGACGTGGGGTTCACCGCAGTATGAACTGCGCTGAGCCAAATGTATTGGAGAAATATAAGCACCTGACTGCCCTCAAATATTAGCCCCCTTCCTCGGCCCATTTTACACAGATCCGGGTGGCTCCTTGTTGACCCGTTGAGAAAGTGCTATTGTAAATCATGTTTTAACACCGTGACTCATCGGCGATGATCTTTCCAACAGCTATTACTACAGTGCGGACTATTACTACTTCTAATAAATTGCCGACGAAACTGGCAGCAACTTCTTTTATGTCTTATCAGGCGCGTTTCACTACTGTCGGCCGCAGTAATATACTGCGCGACATATTTTGCGCAATGGACGAACCACGTTCTTAGCTTTCACCAGCGCATACCACTGTCAAATCTTACCCGCAGTAGCATGGTCCACCCCGTGAATATCTTACGTGACACAGTGCGTTTGCCATCTTTATGTGCCTTTATAGAAATCTGTGATACACATCCGGTACTAACACATATGAAGTGCTTAGTTAAGACTACATAATACTTGACTTTTATGTACAAATTGGTTTTGGCATGGATAAAGGTCAATGAGATGGCACTGTGAAATTACAAGTGAACCTTTAATTGAGTTAGTGATCGCCTAGTACGAGCTATCCTTGATGTGGAAGTCATCTACTGAGCAAGTAACTGTGCTATTAATGAAATCCAATATCTTTTTGTCACCTATTGTTGCCCAAAATGTTAGTTGACATCTCTTACTGTCTTTGACCACCTACATAAAACAGCGCTAAAAGACGCTGTAGCGTTTAAAAAAGGCCTGTCATACAAGAAATTAGATTGCTGCCGAATGTCCTTTTCACCAAATATATGACAATATGTACTAAGTAATCGACATGTATCACTACTGTCATAGACATAGGTAATTGCCTGATTAAGTAAGTGGCAAATGATCATTACGCTCAGCCAGACACATACTAAGGTTACGCCATCATTAGAAATGTCATAGTTACGGTTCCTCATCGTCAATATAATTGTTCAGGAATCGGCACTTTCGACCGACTGAATTCTGGTTGCCCAAGCTATGCTACTTACCAATATATGTTATAAAATCAGTAAGAACAACAGGTACCTGCTGACTACATGTAACGGGCGCAGTGTGCTTGTGCTTCGACTCATTGCAGCCTTTTTCTTAGGCCTCAGATGTGTCATTAAAAACAGCTTGCTGTGATACTGCTAGCGACTGACTACTCGTATAAACAATTTTAAAAAGTTACATACTAACCACAAAGACATCGCCAAGACGGCTACGTTCTCCAAAAGCATACCACAGTTCCGACAAGTTTGCAAGGCTGCTGTCACTTTCATTGTTTATGTATTTTAGGGTTCAATAAACTTGACAAAAGACTAAAGGCCATTTTTGAAACTGCCCCAGCATTGTTATGCTGACTAAGAAAATCCCACATGCTAAAAATGACAACTTGACCCATATATTCACGACACCCTTCAACTACCAGAACCACACTCACCACTATGGTTATTGCTACACGATTAACACAAATTCTCGGCATTAAACATCCCATTGTGCAAGGTATACAATTATTTGAAGTTTGGGGACGCGCTTTGAAGCTTTAGAAAGGAATCGCTTTTTCGTACTGCTGTTCCTGACAACACTTCATCTCTCATGTAAAGGTGGCATGACTCATGTTGGCAGAGCCGAACTCGCCTCGGCAGTTTCAAACGCTGGTGCTCTTGGCATCATAACAGCATTGACACAGCCGACTCCTGAAGAACTCAGAAAAGAGATTCGGCGGTGCCGCGAAATGACGGAAAAACCATTTGGTGTGAACCTGACCATCCTGCCAGCTATCAACCCTCCTCCATATATGGAATATGCCAAAGTAATCGTAGAAGAGCGTGTGCCTGTTGTCGAGACCGCTGGAAATAATCGTAAGCAAAGAAAACAATCGCAACAAAGAAACCCTGAAAAAGGAGACACATTTTCTCTGACAAGCAAAATGTGGTAATTTTATAGCACGCGAGTATGTTCGCATGTTTAAAGGTGCTGGTTTAAAAACTATTCACAAATGCGTTGCTATACGACATGCGATTTCTGCACAGAAGATGGGTGTCGATGTGCTATCGATTGATGGACTTGAATGTGCTGGCCACCCTGGCGAAGATGATATTTCTGGCTTGATCCTTTTAAGCAAAGCTGCACAGAAGCTCGACACAGCATATATCGCATCGGGTGGATTCGCTGATGGACGGGGTCTGGCGGCCGCATTGGCACTCGGTGCACAAGGAATCAACATGGGTACTCGATTTATGTGCACAGAGGAAGCTCCTATACATAGGAACATTAAGGAGGCTATTGTTGAAGCTGATGAGCGCTCGACTGCGCTATTATATCGACCTTTCCGTAACACAGCGCGTGTTTTCAAGAATGAAGTGGCACTTGAAGTTAATCGCCGTGAAGCGAATCCAGGTGTCAAGTTTGAAGATATCAAGGAGCTGGTCGCTGGCGTACGCGGAAGAGAGGCTTTGGATAATGGCGACAAAGACCATGGTATATGGAGCGCAGGACAAGCCGTGGGCCTCATCAACGATATACCAACTTGTGAGGAGCTCGTGAGCCGTATTGCTGGTGATGCTGAGACTATAATTAGAGACAAGTTAGCAAAATTTGTTCATTGATTAAAACCAACATTATAAACGATACAAATTTGTGATTTCTCATTATTCTTGGCTCGATGATGTAGGATCAAGTTGAGTACCTGATTAGAAAATGTGATTCGTACACATATGTCGATTATATTGCTACCAACACGAAGTCGCGGACAACATGTCAGTATTGAGTGGGTACAAGTCCTTGTTGCGATTATGACTTTAACTGATTCAGCGCAGCTCCTCTATAATCGTTTATAGTCTCAAATCATCTAGTGGGTAAGACAAACTAATCCACTAGTGCCAGCAAAAATACTATAAGCACATGTTCCATAATAATCGTTGGCGCTATGAAATATATCTTAGCTGTTATAAAATTTTAAAACATCACAAAACAAAACTCTATGATCATTTAATCATATTAAAAGAGGCAGATTGAAGGTGTATAAAGAAAGAGTGGGAAAGTCGATGGTACAACTTGCCGTAAACGAAGTTAATGCAAATCTTGGTCCAGTCCCTTCTTTTGTGTAACCTCAATCGTCCCTCTTTTCGCCTCACCGTTGGTCCGCTAACAAAGGGTCCAAGAATTTTTTTTACAACCAAGGCATTGAACTTCAAAAATCCAATTACTACGTGTCCACTACACTGCTGAACGATACAACACAACAATTCAATTGATATAGAAGAAATGGATAAGGCACCGCCTTTTTGAGCTGACGAATCTCATTAAAAGAAGTGAATATATCATACTGAGAAGTGTTGCTTTTCAAAATCACGAACGCAGGTGCCTCTTCTTCTTCCTAACTGTTAGCTCTTATAGGCTCATTCTTCCTGTATTGTCCAAAGAGGGTTAATTATGGGTGCAAAATGCTATAGTTTACTCATGATCACATAAACACTAAGGTACAGATAAAGTTGTTACAACATAACGAAAATCAAATTTTCCGTGGCTGTAGCTTATTTCCTGATGCATTACAGTAACCGAAACTAATTTTTGCGATTAGCCATGCTACAAAGTCTTACTGCCCATGGCCATCGTCACCGAGAAATCCTTTGTCATACTGACAAAGTCGAGGCCGATAAACAGATTTTTGAAACACAGATCGAATCTCTTCGTACTGACGTTCATCCACGTATAGTCGCTGATCCATATCATCATCTGCCACACGCTATCTGGACGCTGCTTAAATCGCAAAGATATCATCAAGGTTGGGCGTAACATCGAAAATGATATCACTCGGCTTTCACAAACTTCTCCTCAACAATTCAATGACCTTCAAGCATCCATTGTCGTGGACCTGTTGACAATATGCAACGAGTACAAATGCAAACTAATTACTGGATCAAAAGTCTGGCAATATGTGTGCAACAATTGTACAACATCGTCTATCCAAGGATTTACAACAAGGCAACTGGGAAGGTCGACTTACTGACGAGCACGTACACTATGCAGCTTTGGATGCCTGGAGTAGTCGGCAAGTTTATCTCCAAGTGACATCGCCTAGAAACGACATCATAAATCGACGAGCTGGTGTACATGTAACGGTACTTAGCGACGACGGTACTGTGGAGGTGGCGCGCGGGAAAATCAGCGATGCTAGACAAAGTGGGTATGTACATATTCTCTCCCTTACAGTACCTACTGCTTTAGGGGAGGATTGCAAATGAAAGAAAAATAGTTGTAGTTCTGCGAGAATGCTCTTTTCTGCTGCGGGTGCTTCATTCAAAAATTTTGGTGTGGAAAATTAGCTGCAATAAAACATTGAGGTATCTTGAAAATCCGGCATTTTCCATGCCTACGAGATCAATTTTTTTTTTGAATCATAGCTATAGCATCAAAAGAAAGGAAATAAGTAAAATGAGCAAAGTGTGAGGATCAAATTCCTGCTTCAATATATCCACTCTTATCTAATGAAATCATGCCACAGCAAGCTTGTTGGATCCTTGAATACGCGCACAATAGCATTTACCCATATTTGACCCTGTGTTAGTAACGGAGCACGTTCGTTTCATCATCACGCTGATATATACGATCAAAGTTGACGAGACGAGAGAAACCCCAATTGTCTTCTTCTGAGGTAAACCTATGACGAACAGCTAATAAAGCGAATAAGAGTTGAGATGCACATATACATGGGGTCGATGTAGCGAACGAACTTGAAGAGCAGTAGTATCCATTACCATAGCTTACATAATTAGTAGTGCGGATGGGATAACCAAATCGCAAATTGAGCGCATGCATAACTATCTTTCTTGTCGTCTGAGCTGTGCCCTTGTCTTGATCTATCCCCTTCCCATTGAAGGTACATGGGACAAAAGAGGTTTGATAGTTTCCTTTCGGATAAAGCAGCAACTTCCTGTATAAGTGATCAATATGAAGGACCATAACATGACCCGCGTTGGCTTTCTCCCATACATTCACCCAAACTACAAAACCATACCATACCATTCAAGATCACCAATTTCAAAGTTGGGTCTATAGGCGCAGTCTGTTAATTGACGCCAATATATAATGTCCCAATTAACACACCTGGATTCAATCAGTTATTCGTCAACCTTGGCAAAGAGCTCATCGACAATCTGTTCATCTGCGAAATGTTCACGATACATAAGACAATACAGTGTGTACAACATGTATGTACGCGTGTTGATGCTTTACATGAACTTTCTCCTCTTTGGCCTTCCATTTTCTCTGCTTTGTAAAACGACTCGAGGAATAATAATAATTACGTTCATGAACTACTGAAAGTACGCGTGGTGCCTCAGTTGTTGGCTCTATCGACAAAATATTATTTATCACTACGTACGTAAAAGGACATCCGCTTTTTTGGTTCACACATTCGTCTTTGTTTTAGTTATGCATGTTACAACGTTGATATAGACATGGTCCCCAATATTATTTATACCTTGTTATGCAAAAACCATATCCCCGACTCTTTAGTGTAAATGTGTATCATTACAGAGAGTGTAACATGTGATAGAAAAAACACAAAGTAGGAAGTGCATAATGTGTTATGGTAGAAGATATGTAGAAGCATACAGATGTATTAAAATATAAGAGGGGCTCTGTACTACTACTGGACACTTCGACTTGCTCTTAATCTCCACTTTTTTTTTTTTTGGCACAATGGACCTCAATCGCAACGAATTGTTAGTTGCGTGCTTCTGTCCAGTGAGCTCGAGGGCAAATAGCAACACTGGCTTCCAAATGGTGCCAAGCAGAACGCACGAATATCATCAGCGGCGCGTTTTAAATGGTGCTTCACAGAGTTACTCACACAATGGTACTTGTTTTACACGCATCCCGAAGATTGAGTTTATCAATGTATCTTGTATATCTACTAGTGGGTGCCATTGTAGCCAATATTGAAGCCAATTTGCGCCAAAGCTCAACTCCATCACCGTTGCGGCCAGGCGACGATACTGATATGGACATGGATGATGATGTGGTGGTCGATTCTTCCTCCCCTGGTATGAGACTTATATTGTTAGTGTAATAGATGTGCGAATAAGTCATTTATCGTTATTATGTAATGTAGACGTCGTTTCAAGTCTTCATGTCCCTTTTTCTGCCGAGGATAATGTGTTCGCAGTTGAGGATGAAGTTGCCGATGGAGAGCAAAATGACAATGATCTTGTCATAAGTGCTGCTGATGTTGAGTTCGGTAATGATGGGGGCGAAATGCATAGTGAGGCAGCCGCCATTGACGCAGGTTGGTTTATGAAAGGCAGTTTTATTGAATCAAATAGAAGAGCTCTGAACTACACGGTACTTACAACCTTTTTTTCCAAAAATAAACCGAAGACACTCACCTTGGTCCTCCCCCTCCTCCTCCTGTTACCGGAATTCATAATTATCCGCATCCCTTTGTCCTTGTCGTTCTCTTCCTCGTGCTTTTCCAATTACACTTCGTTTCCGAGCACTTGTCATGCATCATCATCGACTTTTGCGTTCTACTTCTTGGTGATCTCCGGCCAAACTTTTCCATCCCTACCTCGCTTGCTACTCTCCGTCATATCACTGGCTTCTCTGCACTGACCGATCACTTGCGTAAATATGTGTGCTGCTCTCGTTGCCACAGCCTATATCTTGCATCTGATCCTCATTGCCCAAGGACATGCACCAACGACGATATCCGCTACAACAGTTTATGCGACAACGAATTGTTCAAAACTGTCGGTAATCTTTGGGTGCCTATAAAAGAGTATGCCTATCAGCCCTTGTCTGCGACTATTGAGAGGCTTTTTTTGCGGCTGGATTCGAGGCAAAGATTGAGGAATGGCGGAGCCGTAGACGAATTGTTGATAACTCGTTTGACATTTACGACGGTGACATGTGGCGGGAGTTTCGTGATCGTGAAGGCAGGCCGTTTGTTGAGTCAGCACCGTTCACTGTTGTTCACACTCAACGTAGATTGGTTTGGCCCGTTTCTGAACTCCACGTATTCAAACGGTGCCATATACTTGTCCATAAACAATCTACCACGATCTGAGCGCTACAAGTCAGAAAACCTCATTCTTCTTGGTGTAATGCCTGGCCCACGGGAAGCGAGTACATCTGACATCAACCATTACCTTCGACCCTTGGTTGATGAATTGTTGGAATGGTACGGCGGTAAAACCATCAGGACGTGCCAGTATCCACAGGGAACACTTGTCCGCTTGGCGTTGTTCGTCAATGCTTGTGATATCCCTGCCGCAAGGAAACAAGCGGTTTCACCTCGCATGCGAGCCTTTGCGCCTGTCACAAATGCGTCCGTCAATTCAACGTTTTCCCTGGCACCACCAACATTGACTACTCCGGGTTTGACGTTGCTAGTTGGGTGCTGCGAACGCGGGAGGACAACCGGGCTTATGCTGAGCAATGGCGGAATGCTGAGACGATGATGGCTCGACGAGAACTGGAACGGGCAAATGGGACGAGATGGTCAGAGCTGCACCGTTTGGGCTACTTTGATCCTGTTCGTTGCACGATCATCGACCCGATGCATAATTTGTTTCTCGGCACAACAAAGCGTATGGCAAAGGTCTGGATTGACCGAGACCTCCTCACCAGAACCGACCTTCAACAGATGCAAGTGCTCGCGGACGGTATTGTTCTCCCTCCCGATTATGTTGCCTTGCACCGCAAAATCGAAAGTGGCTTCTCATTCATGACCGCAGATGATTGGAAGTCGTGGTGCATCGTATACTCGCCTTTTGTGCTTGACGGCCACCTTCCTAGAAGATACCTCCAAAACTGGTTGAAGTTTGTCGACGCTTGTCGTTTGCTGGTTAAGCCATCAATTACCGTGGACGAAACTGCAGTAGCAGATACTCTTCTCACAGAGTTCTGTACTGGTGTCGAGCAGATATATGGCCCAGAGGAGATCACACCGAACATGCACCTTCATATGCACTTGGCCGCAACGATCAATGATTTCGGGCCGTTATACGCTTACTGGCTCTTCTCGTTTGAGCGCTATAACGGATACCTCAAGGAGATCGACACCAACCAAAAGGACTCGTTCGAAATGACGTTCATGAAGAAGTTCTTGCAGAAGACTGGTGCTCGCGATTTCGTTCGATCGTTTGAAGCCCTCTTCCAACACCATCAACATCATTTCTCCTTCCTAAACAGCTTTCTCGACCTTGTACACCCGATCCCACGCGCAGCTGATGTTGTCCAGCGTCAATTCGATGTTCATGCGTTTTTGGCGTTGTCGACGGATGTTGGAACCATCCACTACGTTACAGGAAGTGAGCCGCTGCCGCCAGATGTATACCCCTTGCATTATGGACGGATAGCGTTTATGCCTGAGCAACTGTACAATTTCTTGTTGGCATTTTACCGTGCTGTAAATGACGATCATCTCGTTCACTATACCCAAGCTGGTGATGGGCAAGTTTTCGTCAGTAACCAGTACTGGAAAATGAAGACGTTAACGATGATGGGGCAGATTTACCGCAGTGCTGAAGCGAGATCGCGACGTGGTGCCCACGCTCAAGTTCTGCCACGTAGACGATCGCGGAGAAGCAATGGCCTGGCCATGCGAGATCCAATTTTTCTTTCGGCATGTGCAGTTCGTTCGTGGGCAGCAGACAGAGCATGTATTTGCATATGTCCGATGGTACAGCATCCACAGAGATAATGATGGTCGCCGATTTACGGATCCTTATCTTGAAACGTGGTGTAGCCGTTTTCGAAGTGAAGCGATGGATTGCATTGTACCTGTTCCTCGTTTATATGGACAAGTTGCTATTGTAAAACTGGGCACACAAAGAAATGCAAATCCAGAACAGTAGTGCTTCCGTTAGCAAAAAAGATGCTAGCATAAGCAACTATAACTTTTTACTCGCTTTTTTCTTGCCTACTAAAAATTTTCAATATTCCATGTTTCTGCTGTTACCTTAGCGTTTATAATAGTACCATGTGGTGTTGTATGCACGCGTCGATAATATCTTGGCGGTAGCATTTTGTTACCTAAGTTGCAAAAAAAAGGAAGATTTAGGGCTGAATTCGCAAACCAACATGTAAGCAGCAAAGCAAAAGCACTAGCTATAAGTATATACGCACCCTATAGGCTTACAGGACTTGTGAAGTCTAGCTAGTAACTTTAGAGAACGGTAGTCGCATGCTGTTAACAAGTTTTAAACGAAACATTTAATAGTAATTAAAGAACCATTAAGCTGATGGAATGCTTCTTATCACTTGGAGTGTTTCAGTGAGTAAAGTGAGTGATGTTTCTGTTTGTGCCATGATGAGGATTGATAAAGACGCGAATGACGTGGATAGTAGAAGTGGCAAAAAAGAAAAAGATGGGTCGTTCTCCCCAACCACTGAAAAAAATTCCCCCCACCCCACCCAACAGCAGCTGCATGCATAACTTTTGTTTTGCCCACCCCATACCCACACGACACGGGCAGGTCTATTTGCACACCCCCTCATGCACACCCCCAGTCACACCCAGGTAGGATTTCCGTTACACACACCCCGCTGACATTTCTTTCGTGCACACCCCCTCACACCCTTTTGACTGACAGTATGCATAAAGAAAATTGATACAGGATTCGTCTATTAGTCTAAGTATAAGGTGTTGGCAAAAAGAAATAAAAAAGAGAAAGTGGCAGGGAAAGTAAGAAAGGTAGCGAAAAAGTAAGAGGATCAAGTGTCAAGTAGCTGATTAATTATTTCGGTTACAGGTGGTTAAGTCTTCGCCCTCAGAATCAGATGCGTGAATGGGATGCACTTCTTCGTCATTGGGAATCGTGAAATTGGGAAACGGTCGAATAGACCGTTCAAAAGAATCTTCAAAAAGGGGATACCAAGGATCATCGCGAATGCTTTTGTGTGGTCCACGACCCTCAGGGAATACTTCAGGCCACTGGATAGCTGCGTCGTTTTTGGTCATAACGAGTATGAAGTGGTTTCCAATAAGCTGGAGGACGATCGGGTGGGTGCGCTTGGCGTGTACTGGGTTGGTTGTTAAAGGGAAGAAAATGTGCGATTGTGCGCCATCTATAACAACTGGCGTTTCGAACGTATCAGCGGCAATTTGACTGCATTCAGGCGAGACGAACCATTCACTTGAATATGGATCGAGTATTTTTAGTAAACGACCCTTGTCATAGTATTGGTAAAGCGTATTGGCGTTGGATAGGTACTGATCGAGCATCTTGGTCTTGACATCGATGTATCGCTCCTCTGTGTTATACAGCTCAACAGCTAAGGCCCGAAAGCCACAGTTACCGTCTGGCATGGGATTATGCACCAATTCAACAGCTGATGGAGGGATCCATTTGCAAACAAGGTTGAGGTTGGGTACAAAGCGAATTTTTGGAGGAGGAGGGATGGTAAGTGCCATGTTGTTTGCTTCATTTGTTGTTGTTGTTGGCTCCATCTTTCCGTTCCTATAGATATTAAAAATTTAAATAAAGAATTGGCTATACATCTTAATGCATAAAACTTTACCATATTGCTGCAGCATCACGACCAATGCCGGTGTTTGCTTTCTTTCGGCGTTGAGAGTCTTGATGCTCTAAAGCGATCAGCTCACGCTTGTTGCTGCTGCTTTATGGTTTTTGGGTGCTTTTGGGGATTGATTTTGGCTGCTGAAGCTGCTCAACGTCGATGAACATATCATCATTGATAGATTGTAGGTGCGCGAGGAGAGTTGCACGTTGTTGGTTATCTGGAAAGCGGTGTACAAGATTGTTGGGGCGTGTGAGCTCTCCTTCGATTTGCGATTCCAGGCTTGGGGCTGTAAATGAACCAGTCATCGCCAAAATGTTGCTATTGCTATTGCTTGTTGTGTTTGGTTCTCCTAATAACAACAAAAATCAGCTACTGTACGTTACAAATATAACAGCTTTTACATAACAGCCATGACTACCTTGAGAAGCCGTTTTCTCAGGATAAAGGTGCCAGCGTCTGGGAATTAAGCTTAAGGGGATTTCACCCTGTGGTGGAAGCACATGGCAGCACGGAATATCATAATGATACTTGATTGCACATTGGCAGTGATCAGTCTTTAACGGATTATTGACTGTTAACTCGTCACGGATGGCATAGAAAGCGAACTTGGAAATTATACGTTCCAAAGCTGCCAAACGCTGCTTTTGCTGTGGTGGGATATGCGAGTTTCCGCCAAAACTTTCCTTGTCGATCTGGCGCTTCCAATTCAAATTCTAATATAAGGAAGAAAGCATGTAAGAGCCGCGTCACTAACGGATCAATATAATTACTATAAGAGATAAACCTTCAATCGATAAAACTCGTCAATTTGCGTAAAGGCAGTTAGGAGATTGCCACTTGAGGACATGATTGCCTTTTTCATGTTGGCATGCGTCCCTTCGGCTCTATTTGTGCTGTCATTTCCGAAATGCTTTACATAAGTGAGGCGATTGCCTACCCACTTGTCTTTTGAAGCAAGCTTTCTGTATACCGAAAAAACATGTTTAAGTCCAAGTATCATGTGGTCAAAAAATCCGTGCTTATTCAATTTTACACACCTTTGCAAATAGTCCATGACAACGTCGGGTCTTTTTGCTTTTTGAGCAGCCTCCTCATATATCTTCATTGCCTTTTCTTCGAGCTTCTCGTTCGAAATCGTGGATCGCATATCGTTGAACTTGTCTTGATACTCTCTAGCCATTAAAAAATTGATAGCTTTCTCGAGTTCCTCGTAATGGTCCTTGACATCAAAAAGCTTGCGTAGGTTGACCCTGAAGTTGCGTCGTATATGGATCTTGCATAGGATCTTTTTCGCCGTTGGAAAAACGCGGTCGAGAGCACCGGTCAAAGCAGTTTCGCTGTCTGTTACAAACACACCAGGGGACGAAACCTGATCAAGTGGCCAAACGACAGTTTGAAGCTTGCGAATCACCCAATCGTAGCTGTCATTGTTTTCCTCTGATACCCAGCAGCCAGCAATGCAGAAAGTCATCAATTGGGGATATCCAATATTTCCAGTTCCAACAATGTTGATAAATGGCAACCGGTGCTTGTTTGTCTTGTAAGTGGCGTCCAAGGTAACAACGTCCGGGAATTGGCGAGCGAGTGCGATTGCCGATCTGTGCGCAAAGAAGAGAGACTGCAAAAAGCGTTTGTCGCCTTCTTGTTTTGCTTTCCATTGGACTTCGTACTCGTCTTCTTGAAGCTTTTTGATTAGCTGGAACATTGCATGATCTGGGTCGTTGTTGAAGATGCTCTGACGAAGATTGGTGATGTCCTTAGGATGAGCAATCTTGTTCTTGCTGGCAAGATAAGACAATACAGCTTTGTTGGTTGCATGCGCCTGTACCATCTTCATAACGACCTCCTCATCGTGATCGAGTTTGCATAGGGTACGACGAAAGCTCGTTTGCCAACTCATGGTTATGACCGCCATCATAGAAAGAGACTATGTGCCATTGGTTGCTGGTCTGGTTCAAAGGACGAAGGATTATTTCGAATTTGCAACCAAACCGCTGAGAGTCCCTTTGACGAGTGTCGATCTTTTTACCCTTGGATGATGCGATGGCCGTGCCCTCGTCATCTACAATAACCATTTGTCTTGTCGTGGTCTTCTGCTCTTCACATACGCCCTTGTTGACTAGCTCACCATAATGCTTGCAAGCAATCTGGAGCTTCCTCTTATTTCCCGTCTTATTACTTCTAATAGTACGCAACGAGACACCATTTTCTTTGCCCCATACAGTACATAGCAGGCAGTCTTTGCGGCATCGAATCCATCCCATGTAGTGCTAAGTTCTTCTGGAATTGAGGTCATTGTTTTTGACATTGCGTTTAAATGAGCAGTAATGAGGTAGGTAGAAATTTTAATAAATAATGCGCGTTTGTATCACATCAAATGTTCCTGGATTTGTACATAATAAAACTGTCCGTCCTATGTATACCCATATACAATGATGATAGGTAAAGAGGTGATTCATATATATTTCTATCTAAGCATATACTTTATGCTGGATCATTTCTTTATTGCAAGTTCGCATAGCTTCAGGAATAAGCTGCATTACTGTAACTTTAATAAAGGATGTGCATGACCAAAATATTTTGCACAATTTTCAGTCAAAAGGGTGTGAGGGGTGTGCACGAAAGAAATGTCAGCGGGGTGTGTGTAACGGAAATCCTACCTGGGTGTGACTGGGGGTGTGCATGAGGGGGTGTGCAAATAGACCTGCCCACACGACACAGTCGTGCAACCAACTTTTTCAAATTTTTTTTTGTTTTCTCAACTAAACATCGACTACCCAACCCTCCAATTGCTCTCGCGCACTATTGGGCAGAGTAGTAGTGCTAACACCATCCACTCTTATCAATCTGTTCGCGTCAACGTCGGGTTTCAATCCATCAAGATGGCGCAAAAACGCGTTTGCCTACAACAGTATATTTAATCAACGTCGAAGCATGTCGAACCAGCTCAAAATAATTACCCTCTCGTTTCGCCATTGCGGCTTACGCACAACCACACGCTTTCCAGCTTCACCGGAGTACTCGTCGTCGGTCTCCTCTTCAGACATGTACTCCAATCGGAGCAATGCCCCCCCTCGTGGGTAAGTCGCCTCCAGCTGGGCCTGGTGCTGGTGGTACAAATCCACTCGTCGCTTATGTTTCTATTCTCTGTGTCAGAATACATGCATGTTCATATACTACTAGCATAGATAGTTTTCTTTTCTTACAGTGTGGCGACGACTATTACGCCGAGTCGCTACTCTTCTTTGTGCTGCAAGCACAGCCGACTGACGATGCGAACGACGCGTGTTGCCGAAAAAGTAATAGAGCTTTTCAGCCAGCTGCTCGTGCGTGAGGTCGTACTGACCAAGACCCTGAATGTACGATATCGTACGGCCACGAACAGTACGATTGTGGGTGGAACGATAATCGTCATCTCACCGGAAGCCATGCTCTCCCAAAGACCGATGATAATGGCGGATCGCGCCCTATTATCAAACGATATTATTAATCAGCTACTTAACCTGTATTTCAGAAGAGGTACATTTAGTTTTCTTACAGAAACGCCCGCCAAGCGACCCACTCGAGCTCCCTGCGCTGGAGCACCGTTAGTAACTGGGTTACCAGCAAGAGGAGGTGCTGCTTGCTGTTGTGCCAGTGTCTGTCTGGCGACGACATCCCCTATTCCTCGCAGCTGCTGCTCCAACATCATGTTTCGCGCCTCCAATGCTCGGAGACGATCCTCCATCCCCAACGCGACGTTCCGGGCATTCCCCTCCTCAACAGCAGCCCGACGTTCTGCATTACGTTGCTCTCTGGTAGCATTGCGATCTCCTAAGGTAGACATCTATACAATATCTCAATATGCGGCACTCAAACAATATCTACTAACTGCTGTTCATTTACTTTTTTCGAAGTACTTATATATGTTGGTAAGTGAAAGAAAGATGGATTGTTTTGAAATCAGGTTTTTTTTTGGGGGGGAGCATTATATCATAGGATGGGTCCTCGCGCAAAGCACTCTTCTTTCTATGCATGGTGAGGATGGATGGAGCAAAGTCTGCATATTCGGTTTCTCTATTATGCTTCGCGTTTTACTCAAAACCTCTTTTTTGTTTCTTTCTTCCCCTTTTTCCACTTTACTCCCCCCTCCTACTTTCAACACCTTTTTCGATTGGCAAGTATCGTATCCATCTTCTATAAGGTAATACTATGTATTCTATTCTATTCTGTGTCCTATGTGTTATACCACTGTTAATAAGTGTAATCTTGCCGTACACTCACAACTCTTCTTGATGGCGTTTTTGGATAGTAACTGCCTTTTTATCTTTGCAAGCGGGACAGGAGCATCGTAAGTTTTCTCTCCGTTACTATTCTTCTATGGTCCTTTCAAAAATTTACTAGGCTTGAATACTAACGTTTTTCAACGCCGTTTGCTCTTCTATATGTTGCCCATGTCTCCTTTTCATTACAGAGGCCTGTATCTACTTGACCGGTCATTACAAAACTGTATATGACGCTAGTAGCAGTACTTGTAGGTAAATATTGAATGTCATCTTCAATATGTTTCATCTCTTTCTCTACTACTACTGTTCTTCAAACTGATTATTGCTTTATTTCTTTATGTTGTGTCCCATTCGGTCTCCATCTGCACATTACGATCCGCCCATCCTGCCTTGATGTCTCACTTCGTTGCATCTTGCTCTCCTTTCTTTACCACCAACCAATATAGCATACTTCAATTACAGTAGAACTTTCCCCCTTTTGATTATCTCGATTGCTTGTATAAATTATGTCAATGATCATACAATAATAAAATCGGTTCATCCAACCATACCGTAAATAATTATATACTATTCAAATCAATTGGACAGACCATTTAGTCATCGTCATTCTTTTATAGCTACACCTACCTACACACTAAAATATGCATATGCGGACCTCTGTAAAGAAATCAGCTGCACATAATACCCAGTCCATATGTAATGCAATAAAGAACCTAACCACGACTACATACTGTACATGATACGAGCGACCCCAATGCATGAGCTATATATCACACTCTTTTAACAGTGTGATAGCTGCAACTTACTCGGTTTTTACGAAAATATCATCTTCTTGAACGAGCCCTTGAGCTCCCTCCTCGCTTCGCATGAAGAAGTCTTACATCAATATCAAACATGTACATACAAGTTTAACGGGTGAAAAGTTAAAAGAAACAATTTTTATTGGGTACATTTAACTACTAATTACTAATAGGGTGTCGATGTCTTAGCTTCTCTGCTCTTAGAGCAGTACTGACAGGAGCAACCACTGGAAGGTGCATCGACATCTGCTCCCGAACCCTCTACACAAAGCTAGGGTCTTGTCTTGAACGCTTTGGGATCATCGAAGGTCGATTGGTATTGAGATGCCCAGCGGTCTCACCAATCCTATCTTATACAGTAAGTCGCTCGGTGTCAAAACAAGCATCAGCACCCACCCCTACACTTACCTACCCTCACTCACACTCACTCACATTCACACACACAGAAAAAAAGGAAAGGACTTATGATACGTGATCGAAAAGAGAAGAGAAAAAGCGATGAGTCTAGCCTTGAGAGTCGATGTTGAGAGTCGATTGCCGAGAGTCGATTGCCGAGAGTCGAACGCCGATCCCCAGTGTCACCCTTGGCTCTTCCCTTGGTCCTGGTGTTGCCTCCGTTGCGCCTGTCCAACCCTTATTTCCGGTAATCCTGGCTGCCTCCAACTGGTCCCTGCTTGGTTTGTCCAGTCTCGCGTTCAACGGTGTTGGTCACAACCGGTCTCCTAGTGGACCAGAGGACGGAGGAATCCTTTTCGGTTTCTCGCCATAGAAATATGGTAGTGTCCTTTTGGTTGGATGCCTTGTTCTCCCGGTCTGGTCTACTATGGTGGGAAAAACCTAACTTATACAGTAAGTCGCTCCGTGTCAAAACAAGCATCAGCACCCACCCCTACACTTACCTACCCTCACTCACACTCACTCACATTCACACACACAGAAAAAAAGGAAGGGACTTACCATACGTGATCGAAAAGAGAAGAGAAAAAGCGATGAGTCTAGCCTTGAGAGTCGATGTTGAGAGTCGATTGCCGAGAGTCGATTGCCGAGAGTCGATTGCCGAGAGTCGATTGCCGAGAGTCGATTGCCGAGAGTCGATTGCCGAGAGTCGATTGCCGAGAGTCGATTGCCGAGAGTCGATTGCCGAGAGTCGAACGCGATCCCCACCATAGTAGACCAGACCGGGAGACAAGGCATCCAACCAAAAAGGACACTACCATATTTCTATGGCGAGAAACCGAAAAAGGATTCCTCCGTCCTCTGGTCTCACTAGGAGACCGGTTGTGACCAACACCGTTGAACGCGAGACTGGACAAACCAAAGCAGGGACCAGTTGAGGCAGCCAGGATTACCGGAAGTAAGGGTTGGACAGGCGCAACGGAGGCAACACCAGGACCAAGGGAAGAGCCAAGGGAAGAGCCAAGAGAAAGACCAGGAGGAACCAAGGGAGTGAAGGAAAAAAGAAAAATGAAGGAAAGAAAGAGTGAAGAGAAAAAACGAAATGGCCTGAAAAATGTGGGCGTATTTATATCTTTTGGTATCATCAACCCCTACAATTCATGGAAAGCAGTGCGCAGCGCACACACGCCCACATGATTATGATAGACTGGCAACTTGCGGTCCAGGCTGTTCAAGGACTCCCTAATACCATTTCCTGAACTTGCTGTTTCATGCTGCTGCTAGCCTTGTCGCGTAAACGGGTCTCGCGTTCAGCGTGGCGTGCACTATAATATATCAGAAATGCCATTTTTTGAAAGAGGTGTGTTTCAAAATATTGTAACGACTTGACGTTTGAATGATATCAAAACACCCTCTTTTTCTTCAACGATGCTGATGCTCGGCAGAAAAGAAAAGGGGATGTTTTGCTCGCACAAGGCACCATGAGGTCCAGCCTACGATTTTCACATGAGAGACTCCCAGCACTCCGTCTCCCAAGTAGACATCGATTCTCACGCAATTATCGGTTGCCGATCCTCCAAGCCCGCAATGATGGATGTGGACAGCTTAAACTAAACTGTCAAGGGCAGACTATAGAGCAGCATGGCTGTTTTCAGCATAGTATGCGCGTCATCCTAGAACTACTATTATCGATACAGGCTGCTTCTTCAGGTTGATAGTGCTGTTGGGTTTGCTCATTTTCTCATCCACCTCCCTTAGCAGTAGCGACACAAAGCCAATCAGACGTGGTGTTTACTTCCTCGGCGTGTGTACGGGTGATGTATGATACATGTGAAAAAAAAACAAAACAAAACAAAAAACAGGTTTCGGGCTGGTACCCTCCGAAAAAATTTTTCCTTTCGATTATTTTTGCGAACGAACTACGCGAAGATAGAAACAAAAAAAAATAGGTGAAAAACGCGTACCAAAGTGTGGTAAAGCGCGTTGTAATAGTGTTACATACTGTCGCTATGATACAGAAGATCTGTCATTGTTCCCCGCGTTGTTGGCACGGACCTGTGGGTGCGGAGTGGGGGTATTTTTTTTTTTCAAAAGAAGCGGGGTCTTGAACGTGTGCATGAAAAGGCACCCATTTTCCGCAGCGTGCTGCTTCCTCGCTTTTTCTCGATCACATGTGGTAAGTCCCTTCCTTTTTTTTCAGTGTGTGTGAGTGTGAGTGAGGGTAGGTAAGCGCAAGGGTGGGTGCTGATGCTTGTTTTGTAGGCACGGGGCGACTTCTAAGTAGGTAAGTTGATTGGTGAGACCGCTGGCATCTCAATGCCGATCGGACCCTCCGAGATCCATAAAGCGACCAAGACAGAACCCAGCTTTGTGGTAGAGGGTTCGGGAGCAGATGCCGATGCACCTTCCCGCAAAGCTAAGACATCGACACTCTCGTTTTTGGACGAGCCTCTTTAGGAATTTGACCAATTTAAATAAAGGCCTTGTTGTTGTTGTCCCCCGTCTATCAAACATGTGCTGTTTGTTATTGTGTATTACGCGTATTGTATGTAGTCAAGCTACTACTTTAATTAATGCTGCATATTAGCTATCTAACCTCACCCAAGCTACACGTATCTTTACGATATTCTACGTTTGAGACCCAAAGCAATATTTTTAAGGTTTGATAGCCTGTGAAAAGAAGAAGGTCTGACAACGTTAAAATTCTTAATGATGCGCGCTATACCTCTAGTCAAGAGTGTCGTATGGCAGATTCGTTACATTTCTTCGAGAGGAGACCCTTAATACATAGCTCTAAACAATACACGTCCAAAAAGTCGAGCGTAGACAACCATTTGCAATTAATCTGTGTGATCATGTCTATTTGATCTTTAACGCAAATACAATTCGATCAATCCAAAGTTTCTTCCCGATTTAGCCACAGCTCCGCGGGTATGTGCACAGGTATTGTTAATAGATGCTGTGGGCTGCGCGTTCCATGACGATCCAATTGAGCCAGTTTCCTCTGTTTATGCCTGTTAATTAATAAACATAACGTGACAGTAGCAACACATACAACTTATTATTATTGCTTGCTTGGTCTTAATAATTATGAAAAGCCAAGATCTTGGGTTGCACATCCGCAGCACGACAATTTCTTCCTTGACATATATGGAGGAAAATATAGCATAACAAACAGTTTGCGTGAGAAATCAATTCAAAAGTCTTTCACACACTCGTTTGGTATGGTATCGATCGAGAGATTGACCACAACATCAAATTACTGGTCCCAGTCTTGTCGGTACTGTATTATCCCTGGCGATAAGATTTCGTTTTAACCCTTCCCTACTCTTTCGCTAGGCACATTAGCACAGTTTATATAGTTTAAGCATTAATCGCATAAGATGGATGTACAGTAGTTTTTCACCAGGGTATGTAAAAGTAGTCATTCTTACTACAGTTGTTTGGTACTAAGTCTTAGTTGTAAGTCAAGAAATCTCTCGGCGTATGATACGAGCTTTTTTGAGTGTGCGTTGTCAACTTGGAAGATCTTTAAATTTTCTTTCACGAAAAAAATCGCGTAATGGGCCAAGTGTGTTGCTAAAGTCTCGTACGAGGTGGCCAGGTGAACATCCAAACCAATGTTCTGATGTCAGTATGTAATCATGTCATTTGTTGCAATGGATACAATAACTATCTGGGGCAAAATCGCTCCTAAAATAGACGAGGCTTTTTGCTTAACTACAAATTAATACCCTTCAAGTCGATGAGCTTAGACCATGAATTAGATGGTGATAATAAAGCGGTACAAAATTAAGAGTATGAATATATTTATGTATTTGAAAAATTTAGGCGACTATTTTTTATTTCTCAATGTAGCTCGCAGATAAACACAGATGAAAAAGAACCCTCTACCCGTAATACATTCTTGCCTTTTTTTTAATTTTCCTTTTTCCAAATGTACTTCTTTGATACTTATGACGCGTATTGATGCAAGAAAAACATAATGCGGCGATGGTTTATCAGAGACAGTGATATGTATGAGCCTTATGCTTGGAAGAAGCCTCATTTTTGATAACAAAAGTAAACGTGCTAACCCAAGGTCCGTCTGCATCATTTCTTAGCTGTTTGCTCGAGTTAATCAGCCTCATACGAAACGAAGACTAACAGTTGGGGTCCAACTATTTTCACCGCGGATGTTTATTTGACTCATCTTACCTGAACGTATTTGATCTAAATTCTGGAGTTTTGTTCCATTCCTCAGAAAAAAATGAATGCTTTGACTGACGGTTGGAATCGCCACGTTGTCCCACATATACCGGATAATGCTCGCCATCTTATCGAAAAAACCAAGTTTCGATCTCTATCACTTTTGCGATATTGGGTGCTTACCACGGCTATGAAAAAGTATGCCGTCCGCCAAAAAACTTGAGGCACATCTCTCACGTTCCCTTCTTGGGTTATTTGGCAGGCTTCCTCAAGGGTATGCCCATCAGTGAAGTATCCTCTCCCAGTCGCGCTGAAGTCTAAGCAAGGAATATATTGTGTAAATATTCTATTCTTGCCTGTAAATAGTAACCAATGCCCTATACTAAGTATATCTTCTTAACAATCATCAATGCAACAGCGCTTTGACCAAAATGGCTGGTGTGTTCATATCACTAGACCCGAAGCTGCTAAAAAGTTTTTGTTGAAAACGGGTAACTAATTTTCTCTATTAACTTTATAAAAGTCTACCTCTCTATCTGTGATTCACTAATGAATATGGCCTTCAAATTCAGAACTTTTTCGCAAGAAGGATCTCAAGCGTCTTCAACATGAACGAAAAGGTACTTTGATATCCAAACTTGCTCTTGGACCCAATGTGCTCTTTTTGAACGGAAAAGAATGGAAGCATCACCGCATGGTATGGTAAAGACGTGTAACAGCCACATTGATTTAGCAGAATTACTAGTGCGACACAAAGACTCAGCGCGCTATTATATGTTAGATTGCAAATCCTGCGTTCCATCGTTCGATGCCTATCGAATTATTCGGACATCTTGTGGAAAGGCTTTTCAAGGTTATGGACGCTTCTCCCGATCCGGTTGATTTTCACGATATGATGGAGCGCTGGACCCTTGAAGCTATCGGATTAGCGGGATTCGGTAAGTGTTGAAAAATAAACGAGCGACAGAGGTTTGCTGCAGCGCGTATGTTACTTATAAACAAGATGGGGCGTTGCATATGCAGGTTTCGAATTTAACTCTCTTGAAGACAAGGATAACGAATGGGTTACACTTTACAATGATTCTATCAATGGTACAAGAGATCCAATGTTCGCACTCTTCCGTAAGCTTGACACTTGGTTTCGGCTCCTGTTTCCAAAGAGGAAGAGGCTACACGGCGAGATGGACAAGTTTCTGAACATGATGCATGGTGTTATTGAGCATAAGCGCTCCGTCTTGCGGGAAAACAAAACATCTAATATCAAGGACAGCGAGAAAGATTTGTTGACATTGATGCTCTAGGCTGGAAAGGAGATTGAAAAAGCCGCTTTGACTGATGAGGAGCTACGGGTGCGTCTATATAAGTGATGTATTAGCTACTATCAAATCTGAATCCAAGAAGCTAATGTCTCTGCTTTCCAATTTTAATACTGTTAGAGTAATCTTTGCATTTTCTTTGTGGCAGGACATGACACTACCGCCAATGCTTTATCATTCGCAGCTTATTATCTAGCCATTCATAAGGTATTTATAATCGAGAAGAAGATTTATGCTATTTGTTATGGTGGAATAATATTAACGATGATTTCCTCCAGGATATACAACAAAAAGCAAGAGAGGAAGCAATCCGTGTTTTGGGTGATGAGCCAAAAGATATACTTTCTGATGCTGACCAGCTGCACGAGATGCCGTACATCAACATGATAATCAAGGTTTGAAATGTTGATGTTACAGACGGCTGATAAAGGCAAGAGCTATGGTTATCTATAATGCTTATTTCGATTGACAACTTTTATTATTTAGGAAGTTCTGCGTATGGATGGTCCAGCGGCAACTGTAGTGATCCGTGAAGCGACAGAGGATACTGACTTATCGGGTGTCTTTATTTTCAAAAGGATCGCTCATCACATTAGATATATTTGAGCTACACCATAATCCCACTGTATGGGATAGTCCAGATGAATTTAATCCTGAGGAGGTTTGCACCAGGTGGCGAAGCGGAACATAATGGAATGAGCTGGTTACCCTTCTCTATCGGAGCACGGCAGTGCATTGGTATGAACTTTAGCCTAGCCGAGCAGCGTTTCTTACTGCCTATGCTGTGTGAGTGATTAATTCTATTTTAGTGTCTAAGAGTTATCCACATTCCCCAGAATTACTAACATTTCTTTATGTAGTACGAAAGTACGAATGGTCGTTGTCAGAAAACTCGGCCCACAAGAACAAACTTCTTGACAAAGGTTTCGATGTTATCAGCCCCAATGTGCTTGAGATCAACTTTCAAAAGCGATATTAGATGAAGGAAAGATATTAAGGAGATATGGGTGACACCATCGTCATCAACCTAACAGAATCTGCTTGTCTATTTACCAATATTGAAGCGTCCGTAATAAAAAAGCTTTTAACCTTAAGCACTGGTTTATTTCAGCGCCTTTTGATATACTATGTAATAGGTATAAAATATCTATAAACTGACAGCTTACAATTAGCAGTTGTTACTAGGCACAAATTCTCATACTTACTAACAGCAACATGATACACACAAACACATGTATGAACGAAGCGTAGTATGTATACATGTTCAATAACAAGTTTGCGAAATCCAAAAGTTACGTGCCAAACGGAAACAGCCACATGATTTCTGAGCTTGAGACGCTTTCTGAGGCTATGTTGCAGTTTTTCAAGTTTTTTTCGCAATATGTAACAAGAGGCACTCCGTTGAACTTCTGAAGAATAGCAGAAGATCCCAAGCAATATAGAGGCAAATATTTAAATATTCGGATTACCAAACACAGGTAAATGTAACAGACGCTTCCAAATGCTTTCTGTCGAGCAAAAGTACACCTTGTCAGCGATATTTCCAACCACTGTAAAAAGTTTTACCAACAGTTAGAGAAGGTAAGACATGTAGTTGAGAAGGTCGGGATTTAGGCTTGGGGCCTGAGAGCTTTGGCGTACGTGTAGCTTTATATAGGAAATATTTAAACGCAGTAGCGTCCGAGATACCGAGCTTCTTTTTATGTGTACTGTAACGAGGGTCATACAGTTCATATGAGAAAACATATATATATTTAATATGCTTACAAATATTCGAAAAAATATTCGTATTTCGTGTGAATATTATTTTCCAATGTGCAGACTTATTCCCCCTTGGTAAACCATCAAAGCCTACGTAGATGATGATATATCCGCTCGTCAGATTGATGATCGTAACCAATACATTTGTTGCTGATGATAGTTTATCCTTTACAGGTCCAATGAGTGTAAATTCGTCAGACGCTACAAGCTAGAACTTTGTTTTTCAAAACAATAGTGAGCTGTTAGTATGTATAGCCCATGCAGATATCCACACGATTAATAGCAACTGCATATGCATTGACGGGATTGTCTGCATATGCACGGCTGCTGCTGCTACATTTCAAGTTTAAAATTGCTATTGCTGGTCTTTTCGGCTGATAAACCGACCACTCCAATCTGCATATAAAAAGGAACTCTTTCCACCCCTCAGCCTCATTCTTCTTGTTTTTCGCTTTTCACTTTTTTTCCCCCCTTGAATGTGAGTGTTGCCTGCTAGCTTATATCTGTATATGTACGCGTGCGAATGTATTTTATATATTCTATGATGAGGAAAAAATCGATCAATCTCAATATAAAAGTGCGTTATATCGTACGTCTAATCTGGTTCTTTTTGAAAAAAAAAAAAGATGATGCCACAGGGACTCATCGTCGGTCAACTTATTTGTGCTGACCAAGAAAAGTTCGATGGGTTAATGGAACGTCTCGATATTCAAATAGCGACATCTAAAACTCGCACACAACTGTTCGCCGATTTTGCGGAGAAGTACAAGAACGTGAAAGCAGTGTATCTGTCAATCTTTTGTGCAAAGGTAAGATACTGGAATGGAAAAGAAAAAGCATGGCTATTGGTGATGGATTTTAAGGAAAAGAGGCTGCATTTACAGAATTTTGGACCTTTCGATAAAGAGTTTATTGAACAGCTGCCAAAAAGGTACGTGGGCGCTCATGTAAAAAATGCATGCAGTATGGGCTTCCCAATGCATATGCATCCTGAAGTCATAGTGTCAAAACAATTATTTAACTGATTTGCACTTTTACAGCGCTAAATATATATGTTACGCAATGGCAGGATACGACTTGCTGGATGTCGCTGCATGTACGGCAAGGAATATTTATGTGTCCCATGTGGAAAATATGGTGGATGCGGTAAGGTCAAACGCCAACAATGTATATGTATGCAAGCAGGCGCAAATGCATCTAAAGCCTTATATTTTTCAAAGCCATCTGCAGATATAGCTGTTTACCTTATTTTAGCATCTCTTAGAAATGCTACGCAATACATCCACAACGTACGAGAAGGTATATTCAATAAGAGTTGTTCTTTTATTTCGATTTCAATTGACAGTTTTGGGGATGTCACGTTTTGTTAGGACGATGGAAGCATGGTGTTCCGTTAGGAAACGACCCAGAAGGAAAGACACTGGGGATTTTAGGCATGGGTGGTATTGGTAAAGCTCTTGCTAAACGTATGCGAGCATTTGACATGAATATACAGTATAACAACAGAAGGCGACTTGATCCAGAAGGTAAATGGGAATTTTGACGAAATTCACGGCTGCATTCAGCTACTGAATAAATGGACGTGTATGGTTTGGCATTTGGCTTAGTTGAAGCGAAATACGATGCAACATACGTCACCTTTGATAATCTTCTGCGCACATCCGATGTTATCTTTGTAAGCGTGCCGTTGAATGATTCAACGTACCACTTGCTGGATGCGCCTCAGTTCGCCAAGATGAAATCCGGTGTGATTATCATCAACACAGCGCGTGGCCCTATCATCAGCGAGGACGCATTGGTAGCTGCTTTGGAGACAGGAAAAGTAGCTGCCGCAGGGTTGGACGTATTTGAAAAGGTTTGGCTTTGTATATACATGCTTAAAGACGTGGCTGACATGGTGGGCTGATGCGTATTTGCTGTGCTATTATATAGGAGCCCGACATCCATCCAGGCTTATTAGCACATCCACGATCCACTCTCCTGCCGCACATTGCGTCAAGTACGAAGGAATCACTGTATAACATGGATCTAGCGACTATGAAGAATATGGAGGCAGCGCTGGTTCGTGACACCCTTCTCACACCTATTCCTGAGCATAAACATATGTTTGAAACGAGTCAGAACCAGCCTTGAGCACAAGCATATGCTTCCGAAAAGACTGCTTGATTGTTACCAGACTCTACTTGCGCAGAAATAAAGCTCGCTGGGAAGGGTGTTTTTTGTATGTTGAGACTTTTTAAAGGAGCGTTGTATCTGTAGAATATGTTTTCTATGCGATAGCTCACTATCTTGGAGATATTCCTCACTATTGGCCATATTACCATTTATCACAGCCTTGGGTTGTCAAAAAATATTATAATTTGAGAGGCCGTGCATATTCTTTTCTTGCGAAACAGTAACCTCCTTTTGACATACCCTCAGACGATCTCAAATACTCAACAACACCAAATTCAAAAGTCTGTATGAAATAATGGATCAAGAGACAGCAAATGTTCTTTTTGAAAAAGGATCTTGTCTCCTTTTTCTGAATGCCCCACCCAATCTTGAGTTTGGCATTGACTACAACGCTTGGACAATCGGACCCTTATTTAAAGGAGTGAAAATGATCCCACCAGGACTCCACTTTGTATATTTTTCGTAAGTCAAACAACATTACAACCGATTTACAATCAGAAGGGCATACTAATATGTTTGGCTTGTGTATTAGCGCGACAAGCAAAGAGGGAGTACAGGGTATACGAACGGGCTTTTTCCATTATTTCGAGTCAAAGGAGGTAGGAGCAACGCGAGGATGGAATGCGTTGTACGCGTCGGAAGAAGAAAAATAAAGGGCATTGTCGTTAACAAAAGATACATCAGATCCTTGTCCGTGAATGGAACCCACAGACAGAAGACCTACGTGACGAAACCGAACTGGATCCAGATCAGGTGGAGCGGTATAAAATCAGTAAGTCTTTTTCTTTTTTCTTTTTGAGGGAAAAAGAGATACCATATCCATTGCACGATGTTAACCGCCATACAAAGACATACGCGATTTTGACCGGAATATGGGACCCTATCCTCTGGACCCACCAATATTCTACGACCGATGGAGAAAGCTGACAAATTACATAACCTCGGGTCTGGTACGTCGAGTGCTGCCCAACAACGGCAAGGTTTCACATCTTCCAAGCCAAACAATGCAAGAGGAGGATCCTTTGACCGTCAAAGACAAACGGTTGGGAAAGTCAGTTGAAAAGGAAGAAGGGATGGAGTTCACGCTTTTTGATGTGCGACAATCCTTTCCAGAAGGAGCTACAGGTGATGAGGTGACGCGATGGAGTCTTGATAAATCATGGCTGGCACGAGATTTGTTGAGACGCGTATACGGCAACAGTAAGTTTTCGGATTGACAAGTGTCTAGTCAAAACAAAAAATATGCATAGAACTGCAAGCTTATACGACTTTTTTTTTTTGCTGACAGGTCATAAGGTCATGCTTGGTGAAATACAACTCGCCTTTGTGTGCCTGTTGATGGCTCAAAACTTTTCTGGCTTCAACCAGTGGAAGCAGTTCGTGCATTTACTATGCAGCTGTCCGGATCTCATGGAGTCCGATCCCAACCTATTCATCGATTTCATCGGTAACTATATGCAAACCACCCTCTTCCACCCACACATTCGATAGCTATGATATTGACATGTCTTCTTCTCTCTCCCTCTCTCTCCCCGCTGCTATTATAGATGTTCTGCAAATACAGTTGGATGAATGCCCGGAAGACTTTTTCCGGGACATCCTCTCTGAAAATAACTTTGTCGCTCATATGTTGCAGGTAATTGTTTGACAAGACATCTTTACAACGCAAACTTGACGATGTTCCACCTTGATAGAACTTGGGACGAGACATTTTGCCACAGCAAGAAGGATTGAAAGCAAGGTTCGACAAACTACGACTATTTCTTTCCCATCGATTCAAATGGGATCTTCCAGAACTCGACGACGACGAGGATGACGAGGATGCACCCGTGGTGGTAGAAATGGATTAGAATGAGTGTGGTTTGGATAAATACAGGATGATTTAAGCCATCACATCTCGCTATGGGTCTGTTTATATTTGAAATAAAGTTTATAGATGTCTGACTACAGACGGATAAAAGATTATATAAGTTGGGTCAATGCTATCCTTAGTTGAGTCTTGTTATATTATGACACACAAGTCGACAGCCGCTCTAATAGAATGTCCTGCGACCGAGCTTGATGGACTCTTCTTAATCATATCATATATCACGTTTTGCGATTTACGTGGTGACCAGAAAATCGGTCTCTGCTACATTACTGATAATGCAGATTGCGGCATTTGGGCGAGTCGCACGCTCATCTACTCCGGGAAATTCACCGAAACGCGCGGTTACCCAAACAGTCACTCTTGCACAGATCCAACACGTATTTAAGAAGGCTCTCCGCCAGACCGGGCGTTGACCAACTTCTTCAGATAATATATCACATACAACTATTATGGGCAAATTTTCTGAATCTCCACGCGGCCTTATCGTCAGCGTCATCAACCATGCTACAAAAGAGCTTGACGAGCTATGTGAGAAGCAGGCTATCGCGTACAGCCAGTCGAAAACCAGAGACCAGTTTTTTGAGGACTGCAAGACTAAATATAGCAAAGTGGAAGTTGTCATGATCGGTAACTCGGTAAGTTCATGCTCGGCAAGTTTGGAAACACGAGAAGATTCCTGATTTAAGTTGATTTTGCATAGACTGTTGGTCCTTACGACAAGGAGTTTGTCGACAATCTTCCATCCGGGTAAAGAAAAGAACAAGATCATCGATATCGGTTGAACGTGGGAAAGACTGATTTTTATTTCTTCCATCCATTAGCGTAAAGCTTATCACTTATCATGCTGCGGGATACGACGGGTTAGATGTGGAAGCTTGCACCGCTCGAGGAATCCGCGTATCCAACACGCCCACGGCTGTTGATGCAGTAAGCACTTTGTTTGCATTCACACATAACCTTGTATTTTCATATCAAATCAGCTTACACATCACTTTCAAACAAATGATATCAAGGCGACGGCCGACGTTGCTTGCCTTTTGATTTTGAGTGCGTTCCGTAACTCCACTCAAGCAGAACGCAATTTGCGTGAAGGTAATAGGTCTTCTAGTGCATGTACACGTTGTATGAGAGGAGAACGACTCATAATTTTGCTGGTTGTAGGTCGCTGGAGACATGGCGTTACAATGGGCAACGACCCTGAAGGCAAGACATTGGGTATCTTGGGTCTCGGAGGCATTGGCAAGGCGGTAGCCAAGCGCATGGCCGGCTTTGACATGAAGATCCAATACCACAACAGAACGCGCCAGTCTCCTGAAGGTAAACAAGACCTTCTCTGTAATAGAGAGAGATAAGGACAAGACTAAATTTGCTTTCTGTATAGTCGAAAAGCAATACAACGCGACCTATGTCGATTTCGAGACGTTGTTGAGGACTTCTGATTGTATCTTTGTCAGTATTCCTCTCAACAAAGCGACGTACCACCTTTTGGACTCACCTCAATTCACAATGATGAAGGACGGCGTGGTTATCGTCAACACCGCGCGTGGCAAGGTGATTAACGAGTCAGCATTGGTCAACGCGTTAGAGAATGGCAAGGTTTCGGCAGTCGGTCTTGATGTTTTTGAAGGAGTAAGTGTGTTAGAAGAGCGGTAAAAGTTGGAAAAAAAAAAGCTAAAACCTTGTTTCAGGAACCGAAAGTGATTCATCCAGGACTGCTCGCACACCCACGCTCGGTGCTGTTGCCGCACATTGGCACGTATAGCCAAGAGACGATGTACAAGATGGATGTCGTCTGTCTGCAGAACTTTGAAGCTGCTTTGACTTCCAATACCCTGGTCAACCCCATTCCCGAACACAAGCATCTGTTCCAGTAGAAGCAGTTGATATCAGTCATTGTATCTCGGTAGAAGAATATATATATCGTCAGCGAGTTATATTTATTATACAGATCTATTGATGAGGATTGGGTTGGTGTGTGTGGAGAGGAAAAGATGCTATGGATGTGCGTGCGTGAAGAAAAAAAAGAGAAATAGAAATGGATTATACATGCAAAAGACGCGATATACAACAATAGAACAGAGATTATACCAAGAAGCAAGAACGAGAAACAGAAAAAAAAAGATGTATGAGTAGTAGTGATAGTGATAGTGATAGTAGTAGTAGTAGTAGTAGTAGTAGTAGTAGTGGTAGTAGAGATGAACGAGTGGAATGTTGTTGTTGTTGTTGGTACAAAAAAAGGAAAGGCTCCTTTTCTTCTTATTTAGATGGTTAGCGAGCGAGTGCCCTTTGAGGGCGGTTGGTGTGGAGGTGAGCCAGCTCTTGATAGGGTCGTTTGGGTGGTGGAAAGGGTCCTTCAACCAAAAGAAGCATCATACCGGTCAGGACCCGTTTCAGGCCATTTTCCTCGTCCCGGTGGCGCTGTTTCTTGTCTGCTTGCACTACCTCCGGAACAACGGCCGCTTCGGAGACGCCATGCTGAGTTGCAGCATGTGTGGATGATGATGCTGGTGGCGTGGTGGTTGTGGTTGTTGTGGTTGTGACAACGGGCGGGGATTGTGGCATGCTGTTATTATCGACGGATGACGACGGGACCGTCACCTTGTATGATCTCAGCCATGGATGGAAGAGCACCAGATCCAGGGATGCGCGCGTCGTGTCTGGTGCAAGCATGCGGCGCAGCAAGTCCTTTGCGTCTATTTAGAACAGTCAAATTAAAACAAGTTAGAGTTCATCAGAGGCTTGTGTTTCGTATGTAACCACCGGGGGCTATATTGGATCCCGAGCATGGACATGGCAAAAGCTTTATACCTTCAGACAAAGACGATGGGATGCCAAAGTCAGCACTTTGCATCTTCTTGAACAGTTTCCGGTCGGTGGAAGCAACGAAGGGGTACTTTCCAACGAGCATGCGGTAAAGCGAGACGCCGAGTACCCACACATCTGCCAGACCATGGTTGTACGTGCCATGGGTCGACAGCTCGGGCGGAATGTACTGTGAGTTTCTGTTAATTGAACAACACAAGCAACGTTAGCTTACTGGGTGGTACGATGTCCTTGCTAAAGTACGTACCCGGTGAACTTGTGATACTCGGGCTGGCCGTTGATATAGAGACGAATGGACTGGACGTTGTCCTGAGCATTGAATATGATATCCATTTCTCTGGGGATGAGGTCTTTGTTCTCCATCTGGAAGCTGTATGCGACTTGAACCATCTTGACAAACTTGCGACGGCATTTTGTCTCGTCGCCTACCATGGCTGGTCGGAACTGTGGCTCACGTCTTTGAGAAGACGGCGTTGTTGTTGTTGTTGTTGTGTTCGGGGGCAGTACAGGAGGTGGATGGTAAGAGACGGCAGAGGACGAGGTTGTTGAAGTGGATGAATCCGTCTCGTTGCTGCTTGTGGATATGCGTTTTTCGTCATTACTGTTATTACTGTGGTTGTTGTTGTTGTTGCTGTCATTAAATACAAGAGACTGCGGTCTAGCGCGAGATTGAGACGAGTCGGTCATGATGGTGTCGCTTTCTTCAAGAATGGTGTAGAGCAATCGGGCGGTGCGGTCGTCAATCGATCCAGTCGACTGTCGAAGGTGTCGGCGCTATATAAGACAAAGGAATAGCGGAAAAGAGAGAAAACGGTGGGATCAATAACATGGTTCCTGATATTGCACAGTTTTTGTGAGACCCGCATGATCATGGGCTTTTATGGATGTGGCGGTCCCGGAATAGTATGTAGCTTTGGGGGGAGGGGGTGTAGTAGTAGGTGAGAGGTACTACGTGCGGATTGTACAAAGAAGGGGTGGGGGGGGGCGCTTGGGGGAGTGTGTTTTCACAAGAGCCATTGAGAACTGATACGCGCACGAATACAATCACAAATAAAGCTGCAAAGGTAAACGTGGAGTAAAAGCACTGACCCAGAAAAGGGATTTGCCCGCCCTTGCTGTCTCTCACTCTCTCTTTAGCTTGCAGTGACGCGCACATCGTCACTGCACTTCTTTCACCGGGCCCACCTTCTTTGTCTTTTTGTAATTGCAATCAATAGAAAAGGGCTCATTCGGAACTGGCTTACCTGAGACGTCGGAGCCGATTCCGTCTGCGGTGCGATACGTTTAGCACGCGTGAAACGACCGCCACCGTTGGATTCTGAGGACCGGCCATTCCCGTTGCTGCTACTGTTGCTACTGTTGCTACTGTTGTTGTTTGCATCATGAACCGCCCCCAAGATGGGTGGCAGCGGTGGGCGATCGGGTGAGAGACCAGGAAAGTTCTGCGTCTGTGATGATGAGAAAGTCTTCCGCACACGTTTCCACCACGACTTGACCCGTCGCACTTGCGAGCCGCTGTTGGTGTGATTGCTGCTGCTGCTGCTGCTGCTGCTATCGTCGTCTGTGCTCTGTTGATGTCGTTGCTGTGCCTGCACTTGTTGTGGCTGTGGTGGATGTGATCCGAGCGAAAATCGCGGCATCGTCGGATGCCATTTATACGTGTTCTGCAACGCTCACTCGAAAACACAAGGCACACACACGTAAAGAAAACGCAGCAGAAAAAAAGAAAAAAAAAAGCAAAGAGAGAGAGAGAGAAAGAGAAAGAGAGAGAGAAAGGGCGAAAAAGAGCGTGGACAAGAGAGAAAATAAACAAGGTTTTTCTTTTTTGTGGCCGCTTTTTTTCCTTTCTTCTTTTTTTTTTTTTTGCAACGTTTCTCCATATCGCTTTCGTTTATATTTACGCACTCGAGCCTGCTTTACAAATCCGGCAATCGCCCACTCATTTGCTCATTGCGTGTTTCCTCGGCAACGGGGCTCGTTTCCCGTAACCTCCGAATATACAACCCTAGACCGTGAACCACTCTCTTCTTCTCCCGAAGAGAGTTAGAGAGAGGCCCTGGGGTGTGTGATGTCTTCATTTCACAAGACACATTTTCTTCTTCGTGCTTTCCCCATTCGCACACATTAAAGTCCAAGACGGACAAGGCCTTTGTCCACATTGCACTGTTGCTCTTATTTTGGAGCATGTAAACAAGCATGGTTGCACAAACGCGAGGCATTCATTTATTTCGTTTGGTGGCTGGCCTTGTTGCTTTCCCGCCTGTTCATCGTTCAGGAGTACGACGGTCAATGGTACTCAAAAAAAATTAATCAACATCAAACGGTGGCAAAAGGCGCGGTGATATCTGCCACGTTTCTTTTAGCCCTTGCAAATCACTTTATTTTTTTTTCTTGTCACCAAGGAGTCTGACCGGTTAGACCTGGTTTTTGGCAACGATCAACAGTTGTGTTAGTAGCTTCTCTATGGCCAAAACCAGCATCCACCCTAAATTGGGGCTTTGAGTGGGGAGGGGTGCTATTAGCCCGTAAAATTGCCTCCTTAAGTGCCTTGGGCTAATGCTGCTAATACTAGTAGCAACTGCTACTTGCTATGCTATCTAGAATTCTCAAACGAAGCTCACATAGATCTCTTGCTTGTTATTCCTTCAGCATCTTATCGCCTAGATGCACCACGCATTTAGTGTGTTCTTGGTATTTGCAATTGAATTTCGCTCGCATGAATGCAAACATTATAATGGAAGAACAGTTCTGTTTACATATAGTGCGCACATGTGTGTATGTATACATATCCAATAAACATGTAATATTCAACAAGGGAGGAGGTTGGAAGATCGGCACCAAAAATTGTGTCACCATACCACGTTCCGCGTATAGGCTCAAATTGCAAAACGCCTTGTGTAATCGTGGCGGCAATAGCGCATACTCTCTCTAGAGGGTCGGAATAACTATTATACCCATCGATCGTTACAGTCAACCCTGCTGAAAGCTGTCTTTTTTGCGTTTTCGAGGGGAGGGGAGGGGGGTGTCAGCGCCCGGCTATCAGTAAAGCCTTTTTGTGTGTATGACAGGACATAGTGGGGACATCTCTAGTGAGGTCACACGATTCAAATCATCATGCTATGATGCCAAAAGCTTACAGCCAACTCTTTCAACGCAATTGGTAGTATCATATATACCAAACCATTGCATTTATGATGGGCACGTGGTGCTGAATAGTAAGTATATATTTATCTACATATCACAGGTGAAGGCATGCATTCGTCCTCTAGTTTAGTAATATCTCTACCGACTACCGACTATCTGATGAGCCGCGGCTTCCAAGGCACGATGGACAGCGTTGTAGAGTAGAGAATTCTCTTTTAACTTTTTGCCATGGCTAAAACATTGACATATTAGGAAAGCTGGCGTTTGTGTAGACATTCGTTTTCTTCGGCAGAGGTAATGGGCAGATTGATAAATGGACAACGAGGGGGTAATGTCTGTATATCTCAAGTACACTGAGGCTAGCAGCATACTGCTCTTTGATGCTATTCAGCTGAGAAGCGATCCATGTTTCCGGAATAACAATGCCGATGCTGAGGTAATAAAATAAACAATGTTGTAAGTCAGCAACATTTGGTGGAATGCTTCTTCTAAATACGATAACAACAATGTCTCTGTGCAAATCATGCCACTTGTATTCTCATGTCACCCCTGATTATGGATAGATGATCTCTTTACTTGTTGACTCTCACGATGCGAAGCTCACAGGCAGTAGATTGTATTTGAGAAAACAGCAACTGCCGCATCCCCGTCGGTATTTATCTAATGGAGTAGCGGATAGCTCGGGCAACGTAGTAGTAGTCACTATTCATGATTGCTACTTGGACACAAAGACAACCCTGTGGTAGCACTTGGATCTTTTCTGGGATAGGGTCACCACTTTTATTAAAAAAGTTTTACACACGTGAAATCACTTGGCACCGAGGTGACCAGCAGTACCCCCTTTGTTTTCATGCATACTTTGATTTGGAGCGGCCAGTCGAAATCGATTCCGAACGCAAGATGCCGAGGTTATACGAAATAAAAAAAGCGACAGTTCCTTTGAAGGGGGGGCTCCGTGTGTGATCTTCGGGACCGATATTGCGTTGGATAGAAGAATAACATGCGATGTGAGAGAAAGACTTTAGTGTAATGCTACCAGACGCTCACTAATACAGCTAGATAGTGGTTTCCTGTTTGATGTGAAAGTATAAGGGTCACACTACAAGGCAAGAATCTTCTTTCATAACGCATCAAAGTTTTCAGGAGAAGCTGGCCTATCGGCAAAGCTTTTGCTTTTCACCGCGCTGGATGGGAGGATCTCCTAATAACCAGAGCGAGGAAGAATAGAACTAGCCTAGCTTTGGAATGCTGATGTAGATATATCAGCCCTGGTCGTCTACTAACTTATTAATCCGTATCTATTTAAACGTAGATAATTAGTTCTGAATGTACTTTTAGAGTCTTTCATCAAACATAAGGAAGCAGAGATTAATAAGAGCCGTTTGGAAAAAAAGTTGCCCGAGTAAATGGTGTTATTATGCATAGAGGCATAGAGCAGGTTGGCCTGGTAACGAGAGACGCCAGACTTTTTTTGATTTTGTGACGTCAGTTTTTGAAAATTAGGCCCCCTACCTCTTGCCCCGAAAAACATTCACGTTGCGACAAGAATCCCTTTCTTTGCGTTCTTTGGACAACCCCCAACTCTCTTTTTTTTTTTTCCACGAAAAACCATAATCAAGGTGTGTGCATGATTCGATTCGCAAATTCAGCAGCTGTTGGAAAAACCGTAACGTGTTGTTTGCTAATGACGTGATTTGATAGATTATATAAACAATGGGTGGCGCTGGCGGAAAGACATACATGGGCTGGTACGTGTTTTTTTTCCTTGTAATAGGCAACTGTTGCATTTTGTTTTCAACGATAGAATCAAAGTCTAATTTTTAGCTGAAAAATTATATAGGTGGGGTAACATGGGTAGCCCTACTCAACGAGTACGTTAATAATATACGAAAACGTAGAGAAAAGGCAGTTTGGCTTATGACTACGAACTTTTTTTCTTGAAATTAGGGCGTCGTGACCTACCTTCTCTCGCCATTTGAACAGAAGCCCTTCGCAGGTGCTCTTCACAACGCCATTTTCAACACTGCTCGCCGTACTGCTTCGCAGGTCCCTTACGTCGGTGTTGCTTTCGGTATCGGTTACTTTATCTACAGCAGTGCCAATGCCAAACACGCTTACCTTACTTCTAAGGCTGGTCACGCCGAAGCTGAAGACCATTAGATTTCGATACAGTATCATTGCCTCTCTTATTTGGGACGGGGGGGAAAATAAACGTTTCAGTTTGTAATCAAAAGCGATCTTTTCGGTATGCTTGAGTGGGACGGAATGGGAAGAAGAGCTATTGTTGACATCATAGAAGGGACTGGAAGTCAAGTCAGAAGCCTTGAATGTTTGGTAATGGGGACATGGTATATAAAGAGGCGATCATATAATTTGCAGTAGTTTCTATAGCAAGTGCTACTGTTGCGTTGAATAACCAAGTCGATATATATATATACCTTAAAGTGACTTATTCAAGGACACGGATGAACGGAATAGTGGGGAATGTTCCATACCATTTTAGTTACAGCAAGCTGAACAGTAGTAGAGTAATCGCTCTTGGCATCATGGGTGAAGACCATGGATCTGCTGTGTCTTGATAGGGATCATATGTCAAGAGGATCAAGGTGAGGGAGATGTCGACTCTCGACTATAATCTACCATTGTTTTGGATGATGCAGGCTAATAACTAAAACATGACTTATTACACGAAGGCAATTTTAATGGTATCACTAGTGAGAATGCTGCCACCGGGCGATAATCAATTTCTTTTTATGTTGTTGCGCGCTCTATTAATGAAATAATTAACCTTAAATCGTGATCGCCAGCTTTGGTCAAATCCGCGTGGGCAGCGCAAACAGCAATTCTGTATGATATCCCTCTCCAAACGAATGACAGAAATAAACGACGATGCTGAGTTAAAAAGTGCCTGGAAGCGGTTGCAGAATCTATATATTCATCCGGAGCTCAAACACGAATGCTACTACTGTGGATGCTCGCTCAACTTGGACAGCAACAGCCCTAGAAATGACAGTATTGGTCAGACAACTGACTAATGCGCCTTTCAAAAGGGGAGGGAGGCCATGGTTTTATTTGTTTTTATCTTTCTGTCATGGCAATGAGTGGCATATGTCGGTTTGTCTGAGCATCTTTTTTTCCATACAGACGACGACGATCTTTGTGGTCGACCTGAGCGGAGCTTTTAGGGGCATTTTAGATCGTGAATCGTGAGCGGGGAATAGCAAGCACGGTGGAAACAAATCCGACAATGGGCTTCATTTCATACGAGCTCTTTACTGCAGTGAGATGTCAAAGCATGGGATTGATGTGCCATCACTGTGTGAAGGATCCCAAAGCGTATTAGACTGCCCATACCAGTGCGATCATGCGAGGCAGAGTGAAGAGATGGGGGAGGGGAAGGGAGGGGTGGTAGATGCCAAATCGAGCAAGCATGGGCTGCGTCTAGAATGTGATTGGGTGACACAGTTTATAAGGCTTTCATTTGCAAACCCGGGCTTTTCAATATTCTTTCCTTACCCGAAGCTCTCTTTCTTTTTTTTTTCTGTTGCTTGGCTCTCTCTACTACTACTCTCTCTCTCTCTCTCCCTTCTTTGTTCTCGCTCTTTCCTCTCCTCTCCTCTCCAACTCTTTGTTTTCCGCATATATTCTACATTCCTTGCATCTTTTTTTTTTTTCTTATCCTAAACAGCGAGAGCAATAGCAATGTCGGCAGCAAATACTTCCATCGATAGCCGATATCTCTGGCTCGGCCTCTACTTTCTATTAAACCTGGGCCTGACGCTTTACAACAAGGCAATATTACTCGACTTCCGCTACCCTTGGAGTCTGACAGCAATTCATACCCTATGCGGCTCCATCGGCTGCTACATCTTGTACTTTTTCGGCTACTTTACTCCAGTTAAACTCGGGGAACATGAGAACATGGTGATGCTCATGTTTTCGGTCCTTTATACCATCAACATTGCCATTAGTAACGTCTCTCTGTAAGTAGCGGCTTTGTTTGTTTGCTGCCTAGTGATACCCAGCTCAGTAGGTTGCTACAGCAAACACACTGGCTTGGCTCTATGGGCTTAGCTCCTTTTTTCTTACCCTTTGGGTTGTATGTGCCTGGTGGGAGAGAAAGGGGAGAGGATGTACAAATATAGGGAGATGGGGTGGATGCTTTCCTCTGACAACGATGATAGCAGCAACTGAACTAACGGATCTATGCTCATGTATGTCTCTTAGAAACCTGGTGTCTGTTGCTGTACGTATATTACACATGACGACGAAATATATAAAAGAAGAAAAACAATCATCACATCATTCGACTAACTGGATTTGCTAGTTTCACCAAGTTGTTCGCGCCATGACCCCTGTGTTTACCGTCATGATTTCCATCGTGTTCTTGCAAAAGTCGTTCTCGCGCATGACATACTGGTCGCTACTTCCCGTCGTCGTGGGTGTTGGCTTTGCGACATTTGGCGAATACGGCTATACTGCAGTTGGATTCCTCCTCACCGTCCTTGGCACCATGCTTGCAGCTGTAAAGACGGTCGTGACAAACCGCATTCTTGTAGGCCGTCTCAAGCTCGATCCATTGGATCTGTTGCTGAGAATGTCGCCTCTCGCCTTTGTCCAATGCGTATTCTATGCTTACATCACCGGCGAGCTCGGTCGCGTCCAAGAGTTTTCTGCTTCGAACATGACAGTCGGACTTGCCACTGGTCTCATCTTTAACGGTATCATGGCATTTGGATTGAACATTGTCAGCTTTACTGCCAACAAAAAGACGGGTGCCCTTACAATGACGGTTGCAGGTTAGTGATACTCGGTCGAAAAAAGCGTGGTCGTTTGTACGGATGACATTGACGTCATGGTTCTTGTTGTGCATACTAGGCAATGTCAAACAGGTCCTTTCGATTATTCTGGCAGTCATCATCTTTAAGCTAAACATCAACGCGACTAACGCCTTTGGTATCATCCTGACGCTGCTCGGCGGCGCGTGGTATGGGTAAGTGATCCAATAACCACTATTATATATTGGTGTGTGCGATTCGGAACTAACGCATCCGTTTATCCCGCCTAACAGAAGAGTAGAGTTCTCTGAGCGAGCGAATCGTTCAGTACTTCCAACCGTATCATCGCCCCCATCATCTGATCAGCATACACTGTTACAAGACGTATCAGTTCATGAGAAGAAAAACGACGAGAACAGCCATTAGGTCGTTGATGTTGTTGTTGATGTGAAAACTCAAATCCTCCTTTCCCCATGTTAGCTCGACGATAGAACAACCTCTTACCCCTTCCTCTTTTTTTTCTTCTTTCCATCATTGACAAGCTCACAATCCCGCAAATATACACACTTACACACGCACACATCTCCGTCATTGTTATTATTATCTTGTTGTACTTTTTCTGTATAGCCCTATTTTGTTTTTTTCCGTCTCCAAAATAAAAAGAAACATTTTCAACCAAAATTTGCCTGCAAGCGCATAGTGGCGCGTTTCTATTTTTAAACCAATTTTGGTCGATCATCTGGCCCACACTAGCACCTATTTTTTCTTAGCGAATGTGGTAATCCGGAGGGCTTTTCCGTTCTCCAACTACTCCGCTAGACACACATCCTTTTGGTGACCTACTGTAATGCAAATCCATTGTATCTAGCGGTCTTTGTTACAATGGTCAGGTGGAAAAGATTACTCGGTGTGCGGGCTTAAAATAGAACACAATTACGTAAATAAACAACTTTTATGAGAATCTCCTCTGTTGAAACTGGATTTCCCTGCTGATTGTGTATTATGCACGCAGACAGCTTCACGTGTAAGGACGATTTCCAGGGCCTTGATGTAATTTTCAATATAACTGCAGGCTCACGCAATCAAAATCGCCATGACGCGCTTTGATGCTTTGGAGAGGACACCGCATTAAATGCATAATACTGTGCAGCACTCGCATCAGCCAAATTTAACATGTCTCTACTAGCTCTGTCATCGACCATTGTCTATTAACAGCTTTATCCGTATTAGCTGCAAATCTGCCATCCGGGAATCAAGAAAAACCAGCAGATGGCTACAGCACTACTTTATATTCTTCCAATTGATTCAGCTTTCGAGACTGCACTGTCTCATTATTTAATGCATATCACACCCAACAGCAGATGTGCTAATAAGCGTGTTGCATGTCTGATTATCGACATTCCTTTGTGCGGCAATAAATGAATGCTAAAAAAACTGATGTTGTGTAGTATCTAAGCCCTATACATAGTAGAGCTGCCAATACCGTGGATTGGGTACTAATAAGTGAGTGTAGAAACGATTATAATCGCAGATGAATCAAAGAGAGGCTAATGCAGCACAGTTTCAGTTCTCGCCACAAATTAAATTCAGGCATAAGCCACCAAATCATGCGAAGTGTCCTCTTCAACAATGTCGAGATCTGAGAAGGCCAAGGCAGGTGGCAAGCCCGTCAAACTGCCTCCTTCAGTATTTTCAAATTGGAAAAGTGTCATTAACAACTACACCGAGAGTGATCCAGAAGTCGAACTCGCACCTGTCGTTACAGCACTTGTACGCCTTGTCGATTGCGCCGATGATCCTTGGGAGCAACAGGCAGTCTATATAAAGAAAGCCAGTGAGTAATTTACATGCGTTCGCTCAATGAAATAAAAAAAAAAGAGGCCCAATGGGGATTGTGAACGGTGACAGTAACTATAAATATGCTGCCTTCAGCTCAAGCGCTCAATGACAAGAAGAACGCGGTATACAAAGAGCAGATCATACGCGTTGTCGAGCCTATCGCTTCCAGCGGCTACTTTGCCGCTGCCGAGAACTTGTCGCGTCGGCACTTCATTCCGCTTGTTGAAGCTTCGTCGAAACAGACCAACGAAACGAGTTTTGCCCAGCTCTACAAACAGTATATTTCGCTCGGTGCACAACAGGAACCATCTCTCGCGCAACGTGCATTGACTATTTCGGCTACACTTGAATTTGGATACGGCAAACAGATTGTCCTGAACGCGTACCACGAGACGCTCGTATATCTGGTTACCTCGCTAGAACAGTCAATTCAGCAGCTAGACAGAGCATCCTTGGCAGACCGTATGAACGACATCCTCTATCTTATAAAAACTCTGCACATTTTATTATCTCGCCATACGGCACAGGCGCAACCTATCTTTGTAAAGATCCAGGATCCACAACAGAATGACCCGGACGCACAACTTGTTGCTAAGCTACTCAATATCTTACTCACGATTTGCACCGAAACAGACGTCTATGTTCGAGATTGCAGTCAAGTTGCGGGTATGACTATTGCCGCAATCGTAAATATGGCCACTGATGTAAATTTCGCACGGGATCTCGTACTCGAATGGTTCTTTACTACCAAGGAAAAGAGGAATATATTGGGTGTTGCTCCCAAACCTACGCTGACGGGAGAGTCTGGATGGACGGATCGAGATGTGCCAATGCTATCCATTGTTAAGGGACTCGTTTCTATCCGGGCCGACGTGCTTCTTTCCAAATGTCCTGATAACTTGGAGTATATTCCTACATTGAAGAGGCAAGTGGATGGCGCAACTGTAGTACAGAGACCGTATGAAAATTTACACTTATCGATATCATTAGCTTTCAACCGATGAAGAACTTGCACGAGGTTTTGTTTTTCAGCATTGTCTACTTTTGCTCCAAAGCCGACTTGCAATCAGCATCCAAGGTCGCTGCGTTTGAGTCCATGTCAACCTGGCTCATTCAATGCAAGTCTATCATGCAATCTTGCGGTGGTGATGATTTAACAATGGAAGCTGTATCAACAGTTTTCCAACCGCAAACAGTCGATAGACTCGTTCATTATGTCTGGGATCATTGGGATGATCCTGTGGATGTGATCCAACACAAGGTGAGAGAGGAAAATGAAACGGAAAGTGTTATAACGTGTTAGATGGTGTATTAAACCATGTCTCTTAAACTAGGTCAAAGCCATTTTTGAAATTACCCTTGACGCAGTAGAGATGAAAGCCATCCACTTTGAAGAAAACGAAGAATACCAACTTTTTTTGCGCAAGCTCCTGACCAACTTGATTGATATGGACTGGCATCGCAAGGTACACTATATCAGAAAAGAAGGATTGAGATTGATACTAATATAGGTCAACAATGTCATTCAATTCTTTTAGGTCAAGTATGCATTGCTAAATATTCTTGTACCAAAGCTCGGTACCGACGTCTTCCTTCAAGCTGAACCCAACATTATTTGGAAGTGTTTCCGCGCTATGGATAGTCTCATTTTGTCTCCACAAATCACAGCATTGGTCATGGCACTTTTAAATCGAAGAATTACCGAGACTATTCCAGGTTACGAGAACATCAAGGGCCAGAACATGAAACTCGTCGAAAAACCGGAAACTAAGGTCAGAAATCAATAAGCTGCTCGTAACGACCTTCATCTATCTTTCTACTTACCCGTAGTTATTTATCTTTTATCTGACATAGGTTCCCATCCAACAATGGGTCGACCTTTGGAGTGTACCGCTCCTTCGTGTACTGACATCGTCGTCCGAGCTTTTACGAAAAAACATAAGCAACTTTATCATGCAACCGTTGTTCAGGATCTGCCCACAATCGTTCTGGACTCTCATGGAAAAGCTTCAAACTGACAGTGATGCATTAATCAACAAGGAGCTACGTTTGCATGCTTTCATTGCGCTCTTGAAAGTTGGCAGAAGCCTCGATATCGTTAGCGCTGATGCGTATACGCTTGGTACATATCTTTGGTTAAGACTTTTGTTTAAAGATGCGTCTGAGATTCATTAACAACTCTATACGCATACATAGAAAAATCATCGGCCAACGCACGAGAAATCTCTGTTGATACTCTTCGCGTCGCCATATATCATTTGGACCCTCAAGTTCGACTGGACGTACTTGGACTTATGTGTGAATCACGTAAAGCTATCACACCCATCACCAAGACCGAGTTGGAAATCCTCCAAGAATTTATCCCATTAAACATGAACTGCACGTCACCTGAGTTCCGACAAACATTCTGCACACACATTTCTCGATTGCTTTACCGTCTACGTGGTATTTTTTATGCGCAATACCGGTCCTACAAGTCGTGCACAGCATATCTGCATCGGCTGGGCAGCAAAGTCGATCCAGACGACAAAAAGTACGTCAATGCACGTGCTGAGGCAAATGAGGCCTTGGATAGCATGGAGAATGGCAAGCAATTTCTATACTGGCTCATCAAGTACATCCAAACCTCATTGTACCCTGGAGCATCATATCAGCGCGTGGCAACGGCTTTGCGCTTATTGAGCACGTTGATCAAGATCTTTGGTGTAACCGAGCTTCCTGTACCTGTAGGATTTGGTGACCAACCAGATTTTCCATTCCAAGTGCCTGTCGGTACACCACAGCTGACAAAGATTTTAATCGACACATTGATGAACCCGTTTGATTTCAATCGTGTGCAAGCGTTTGATATTTTGTCGCAATTTCCAAACCCACTGCCTGGCATCGAAGCGCGCCAGGATGCACAGCATCTTTTGTGGTGGGGCTTGGATAACGTTGTAAGCACAAGAGCCGGTGAGAGCGACAGTGGTGCCATGGTGTTCCGATTGATTTTCACAAAGTATGTCAAGGAACTCGGTTATGATCTTTATCCCGAAAGGGATGTCAAGGAAAAGGTTGCACCAGCTGTCGACATGGCCCCAGGTAAGGATCTACAAGTAAAAGTTTACATATGCACACGCATAGCTATATGGTCAATGCTAATGTTGAAATGCTTAGTTGTGTTTACCGAACGACTATTGGATCTCCTGAACAAACAAGTCGAAGCTGCTAAATCGAATTTACTTTTGGCGGCCCAACAACATCCTATGCATGGAACTCTTTTGGCTCTTCAGTAAGAAATACAAAATTTTGCTGTTGCGCAGAGTGATCAAAACTGGCTCTAATGCCATTTAAACCAACAGATATATATTCCGAGAACTCGACTACCATCATCCTTCGGTTCGTGCAAAGTTAAAAGAATGGAAAAAGACGCATAACCGTGCTCTGGCCATGGTGCATTCTGTGTGTACAGCTGTGATGGATGTGCTTTCCAACCCTTCGCCAGAAGGCAATGTACCTTCGTCATACCGCGAAATGGAGGAAGCTATCGATGATCTGATCGACGATGGTGATGATGACGGTGCTGAAGATAGCTCTTCCGGTCCTAAGCATCAGGTTATTTTGAGCTGCTGTTGGCGTGCTGTGAAGGAAGCTAGGTAAGTAACAAAATACTAGCATGTTTTTTTGTTGTTGTTTTGGCTTGACATGTCAAACGTACATTTATATATATTAGCGCCCTGCTGGAAGTGATTATCTCTAGAGCACCTGTCTCCCGCGACAGACCGGTAAGAACAAATAAAGACTATTCCCCACATATCATATGTAGCTCTGATCGACGTACTTTTTGCTACAGGGCTTAATTACGGCTGTAGACCTGAAAGAGAGCGGTGTCTTGCTAAGAACGTTGCTCACCTCAGTCAGACATCGGGGTGCTTTCTCGGCTGTGTATCCTGCATACGTATCACTAAACATGAGATTATTGGACTCTGCTGATGCAAACACAGCAGATCTTCCAGCGCAATGGCTCGAGGTATAGTATCTCGAATTTTCCTACGTGTAGTATTATAGGATCGGTGACTCATCAGTGAAATACTGCTAGGATAATCTTGCAAGCATAACTTCAAACAACATTTCTGTCACCCGACGTAGTGCTGGCTTACCTCTGTGTATCTTGGCTATTGTCAGCAGCGAGCGTTCGTCCAAAAAGAAAATGCTGGATCAGACCATGAGAAGATTGCTGGAACTTGCAAATCAGGAACCTCCACCGGATGCAGATCAGCGCATCGATATGCCTCAAGTCCATGCCTACAATATTCTACGTACCATTTTCATGGATGCTAAGTTAGCAACCGCAGTGCTTGGTTACGCATCGGATGGATTTTCTTTAGCTATCAGTGGCTTTTCGTCATCCAGGTACAAAAAGGCACACAATTATTCTGTTCATTTTACCTACCTGCATTATTAATCTTTATTCTTTTAGTTGGGCTATTCGTAACTGTGCTGTCATGCTGTTTTCGACGTTATTACAGAGGACATTCGGCACTAAGAAGACTAGAGATGAACATAGTGCCGTCAACAAATTGACAGGTCGCGAGTTTTTCACGCGCTATCCTCAGCTCCATCCTTATCTCTTGGAGCAGCTTGAAATTGCTGTGGATCAACTATTGGCCAAGTCAACTGTAAGTGATTATGGCTACTGTATCATCTGTATATCATTAAAGTGTGCTAACTGTTCATTGTTTCTCAGGCAACGAGCACAGTACATCCAGGCCTCTACCCCATCTTAACATTGCTTTCACGTCTCCATCCATCAGTTATGGATGGCGCCAGCCAAGTTACCGCAATGGCTCCATTTGTCCCACTTGTCACGTCCTGCGCTGTCAGTGCCATTTTCAAGGTAATTTTCAATATACATATCTCCCTTTTCTAGTCAATAAGAAAAGATGATTGATCGACTTAACAAACTATATTCTGACCCCTCCATAAGACTCGCGAAATGGCCGCACGTGCTCTTGTTCCTCTTATTTCTTCGTCCGATCTTGCTCAAACAGTGCTTATGCTCCTTGATGTTCCACAAGAATCAACACAGAATGAGATACACGGCCGCTTATTGCAGGTTCAATTCCTCCTGCGTGGTCATCTCTATCATCCTGGTTTGCGGGACCATCTTTTTGATTTTGTTAAGCGAATTCCTGCAGCAATGTTGGCGACAGTGCTCTGTGCCAACATGCTGAGTAGGGTTACATATGCACTATTGCTGGATATTATCAGCGAATTCTTCTTCGATTGTTCCTGGATATCTACTGACAGAGATCAGGGTCTCATTCAAGGTAATTTTAACTAGAGTTTCATTTCACTTCCGAACGGATGAAAACTGATAATCATTTTCAAAAACAGAGCTTAATGTGGCAGCAGAAGAAAACTTTGAGCTGCTACGAAGGGCAGTATTGGATCAATGTCGACAAGGAATAGCAGAAGAGGTAGTACCACAACAAGTGGTAATCGGTGGTTTCCTCGCACGTCGATCAATGGCTCAGATTCTTGTACAAGATGCCTTGGAAAAACAATCTATCAGCGATATCTTGTATCTGTTGGATGACATTGATTATGAAGTCCGCTTGACTTGCATGACGCTGTTAGAGAAGCATAGCAACAGTGAAATGGAAGGGTAAAGTTTTCTTTTGTTTTTCTCTTTGCTCGCGCTGAAAACTAACTTTCTTTACTGAAAAAACATAGAATAAATGCTTTACAAGAGCATTTGTTGATAAAGACTTATAAAGGCGAATCGAATCTCAACTGCTTTGTGTTGGCTGCCAAGTTCTTACTTGCTCTGAAAATTGACTTTGATCGCGTTCACTTTACGCGCATTGAGTACTGGAACCGCTTGGTAGAACAATTTGTCAGCAGTCGCTCTCAAGCCGTTACTGAGTCAGTTCTACCATTATTGGGCTCGCTGCTTGCTCAAGTAAGGATTATTTTCTTACGGCTATTAATTTGATTTCATCACATCCTCTAACAATAAAATGTACTTTAGATTATGGACGATTGTGGTACTGAAAAAGACTGGCTCAACCAATGTATCATATTGTGGAGCAAGTACGTGGTCGCTAATAGTAGCAAAGAAATTGTAAGTATGCTCTGTTCAGTCATGGAAGGTTTCGTCCATTTGTATTTTATTCTGATAAGATGGTACTGTATAGACACTCCCACTTCGCGAAGCCGCTGTTGAGTCCATTCGCTCTATGGCAATGCATATTTTTGAGAATGAAGAAACAGCACGAGTTCAACTGACAGTTACACAATTGCTTCAAGACGATGATATAGATATTCGAACGTCTGTCGCAGAGATCGTGTCTAAAGCACTGAGATTGCCAGTAAGTATCACACGTATCACGTCCTCTTTCGAATGAGGAAATGAGGAAAAAACTCATTTGTTGTTTGTCGTTTGGTTGAAAGGCTCCTGTGCATCCTGAAAGAGCAACTGAATTGGTGTACATGAATCTGAGCAAGAGTCTACATCATCTGGAAGAACTCTCGTCGTCATTGGTGTCCGGGTTACTTGGAGAGGAAAATCTTCGTAAGTAGCTATGAGGGTAAAATCAAGGATTGCAGGAGGAAAGAAGCTTACCGCTCTCTTGCGTATATATCTTTAGAAACAACCTGCGATGCCGAGCTTTCGTTGGTCAAGGCTCTATTCGCAAAAGAAAACCCAAACATCTACAAAGAAGATATCATTGATGTTCAATGGACGTACAATGTTCTGGATCTTTTGGAAGGACGACACACATCAATGTCGCTAACACATTCTGTCGGTACGATGGAAGCAAATATGAGATACCTCCGCGAACTACTGAAGAGCACATCCGTTGATGTAAGTGATTGTTACTCTTCTCTGGTTATACATCTATTTAGATAAGCAAACTCGTAGTTAACCTAAACCGTATGCGTATACAATAGGTGATGACTCGCGGTCCCTATGGGGTCACATCCCGGCCAGCGGTTTTCTTGGCCATTTATCGTGCATTATCAGCAGCAGTCTTAACTTACAACTATCTCGAGCGAAGGGAAAACATGACACAATATTTAGACCTTACTAAAGGTTAGTATCATGTTAGAAATTTAGTATTTGGTTATTTTCTCTGATCTAATAACGTGGGTGACCGGAATACTTTTAGAATTGGACGGTATTATACAACAAGTCACCCAAGATACGCTCCATCCACTATTGCGTCAACTGCTTGTCGATCTTTCATCAAAAATTGTCATGTTCTTAAGAAAATGTGGCTCGCCCGAAAATAAGAAATTATTCCTCATTGCACCTGATTTTAGGAAACTGTAGAATAGAATAAAAAGCTTATACTTACTTTTTTACTCTTAATGCTCAATTGATCGACAACAGCTTATTGCCATACGCTATGTTTTGCGAGAAGTTTGATGGGATTGTATCACTGTGTAGAAATGGGAAAGGGAAAGCGGAGAAGAGATTGCAATTGTCAAAACCCCTTCATTGAAAAAGAAGCGCTATGGTGACAAAAGGACCATTTGACATAACACTATCTTGTGGGAAAGAAGGGGGCTGTGTAACGACCATTATAAGATCCTTTTGACATATGCATGCGGCCGACAACGACTAAATATGTATGCGATGACGAATCCTATGTAATTTTGTGGATGTTTTCCGTTTTCCATTTTCATGCTGTTTCCCGCATAAGTACGTTAAATCGCTTGATACATAGAAAGGCGTGATTGTGTTTATATCCAGACGACGTGCAGATCAAGAAAGTCATTAATTTCCAAATGTAACATCTGCATGATTTTGAGGAACCAGTATGTTTAATCCAATGGAGCAGATGCAGATGCATAATGCTGGATATGAGTAACACACCACCTCTTGGCTTCTCTCCACGCTATGTTTGATACCACGTACCACATGTGATTATTTAGAAAATGCATGATGGGAAACAGGTGGTTGGTATTGCTATGCAAGTAAAACTAACAATGCAGATAAAAGACAAGAGAGGGCGCGACAATCACGGTGGCATCTGTAGGCTTTACATAGTCACAGCTCTATACCATGCTCCAATATTCAGAGGTCGTAGAAGACATGGCCCAGTAACGTGTTACCGTGGCGTTTTTATTTGTACACAACAATTAAAAACTGATTAATCCATGGCCCAAAGTATCTAGTGCTACTTCCGTAGAATAGAAAAGGGGTAATTCTGGCGTTAAGTCTTTATTCTATCCATTCACATACAGCAGATTTGATTCTTGCCAGGACATCTTGCTACCAGTCAAAAAACGGCACGGACATTGACATTATCAGAAATTCCCGAACGTTAAAAAGGTCTTCTAACCCTCAAAGTACTGTATTTAGCAGAAACAGAGGCAAAGCGTCAAAGGAATATAATTTTCCCAGTGAGCCTCAATAGCAAGCATAAACATGCAGATCGCAGAAAGCTATATAAAGCGGCGCGAGTTAAAAGCGCATCCATTTTCTTTTTTCCAATATCCATTTTTTGAAGGACCTGTAGTTTGTAAATCTTGCTTGATATGGTAATAGCTGAGCAAACTTACATTGTTAACAGTAGGGTATTCCGACTAATTGCCTACATCAACTTTCTTTCTGTACTTATATATGGTTATAGCTTTCTCACCAACAAATCATGTCGCGACGTGCCCCGATGCCGTCCACATCATCGTCCAGCAGCAGCGCTAACGGCAACAACGGTGCTGCAAACAATGGTAAAACTGACGTTCAGCATCAAAGGGCGCTTTCGCAGATTCAAGCAATTCAAACCGAATCTGGTGAAGCTGGGCTTCTACGGGCGTTGCAAGCGCTCGTTTCAAACGTTCGTGAGGCGAGCGCTCAAGGCGACGACACGAAAAAGAACTTGAAAGACATTCTTCGAAAAGCGTTGGGAGGGCAGGCAAATACCACAAATACGGATCCATTTGAGTCTACGCCATCCCATGAGCCGGAAGGGATCAACTGGACACTAGGCGCAATCATCAAGAACTTGGAAGCGATCACAGGTCTCAATTCGACTAATACCAAGGCAATCAAAGAACTATTGGGACTGCCACTCAAACAGCAGTTCAGACTAATTAGCGCCATTGTCGAGAGGTATACTTTTATTCTCTTCATTGATAACGATTGTTTCCTTGGGAGAAGAGAAGAGTAGGGGTTATGAAACACAACAACAACAGAGATTAAGGAGGTGACGGGACCCCGCATTTGCATAAATTTTCTCTTTTCAGACTTCTAGGCACACATGCACCCGTAAACGACCGTCACAATACATTTGAAGCTACCATGAAGATTTTAGGTACCATGGGACCAGAGCAAGACGAACTTATCTACTCGTTATCACAACCGCTTCTTGAGCAGTTTCACGTACGTTTGTCGTGGTCTTTGCTGTTTGGGATTGGCGTACCATAGGGTAGCAGCAGGGTGGTCCAAGTTTGTTGTTGACTTGCATGTTTGTTTATTATTTTATTTATTCATTAGAATGACATTCCCAAACCTTATGTCAATTATGTCGGACACAACTTCCGGACGGCAGACGGTAGTTATAACAGCTTATTATTCCCTGACGTTGTAAGTAATAGTCGTCCAAGTCACTTGTTGCGTGTTGTTACTGTGTTCCTTCCTACTAATTGTCACCCACACTAACAAAATTTTTATGTACACACATAGGGAAGATCCGGAAGTAACTACGTTCGTACAGTAACGTCCAAAGGCCCTATAAATGCAAAGTTACCTGAACCATCTGAAGTTTTCAACCGCCTTATGAAGCGGAAAGAGTTCACTCCTCATAAAGGCGGGATCAATATGCTCTTCTTTTATTTTGCTATCATAGTAAGTCCCTAATATGTAAACTAATGTAGTATCAGTAAGCACAACAAAACCGAATTCGTATTCTTTAACAAATCTCAAATGTGCCGTAGATCACCCATGAGCTGTTTTATACGTCTCCTAACAATCCAAGAATGAACCTCACAACAAGTTATGCAGACCAGTATGTATTGCTATCTCCAGCACAAAAGCAAAATCGCGATGTTGTGGCTTACGCCACCCAAATAACTTCTCACTTTTCTAGGTCTATCCTGTACGGCTTTAATCGAACAGATCAAGAATCAGTACGACAGATGAAAGACGGGTTAATAAAACCAGATCATTGGTTTGATTCGCGTCTCGTCATTCAGCCACCAGGTAATAAGATCTGGGATTTTGGAAGAGAGAAAACGAGAAGTAAACTGTGCCCCTATCTTAAAAAAACGTATTTTATATAGGTGTTGGTGCAATGCTGATACTTTTCTCGCGGAATCACAATTATATTGCAAAAACTTTGTTGGAAAAGAATGAAGGCGGCCGATTCTCCTATGGGCCGGGCAAGCTTTTAGCTACCGAAAAGGATCAAGACGAAGAACTATTCCAAACAGCAAGACTTATCAATAACGCATGGTACGTCTAAGTATTTTAGTTCATACTTCGTCATTAATAGATGGTTAACGCACACATTACAGCTTTTTCAAGGTGATTGAACAGGAATATGCACGGGCAATTCTGGGAGTGAGACAAGACGCGTACTTTACCCTCGATGTGTTGGGCAGTCCTCCCACTCCTATGTACGGCAACGCAGTCTCAATCGAGTTTAACAGCACATACCGCTGGCATCAAGCCCTTGGCGAAGAAGACGCAGCATGGGCAGATTCGGTCATCAGCACGTTGGCAGGTCCCATGCGTGATTGGGCCATGAAGAACAGTGGGCAGCTGAAACAAGACCCCTCAACACAGGCCAATGACGAAACGAAGGGAACAGACGAAGGTCGCTTTGAAGCGTTGATTCCAGCATTTAATGAGCACTTTGTTCATGCTTCCCCCGAGGAACTTGCTCTCGGTTTACCTATTGCAGGCATTCATCGCGACATGAAGACTGGCCAATTCTCTGACTTTGATTTGGCCAAATGTCTTCGCCGTGGTTATAACCAAATCGCGTGTGAGGTCGGCAATGGTCTCAAGGTTCCGGCTAGTTTCGAGCATATTGAAATCGCCGGTATTATCCAGTCTCGACTTCTCAGAACTTGCACGTTTAATGAATTCCGACGCTACTTTAACTTGACACCACTTTCCTCGTTCGAGGATTTCAGTGAAATCCCTGAAGTGCAAAAAACGCTGGAAGAGCTGTATGGTACTCCTGATCAGGTCGAGCTATATACAGGAGTCAATGTGGAGCGATGCAAAGTGACCGGCTTGCGCTTGCCGTATACGATCGGACGCGCCATATTGGCGGATGCCATCAACTTAATCCGTAACGGTTAGTATTAATAAGTGATTTCCTTAAACTGGCCACTTTTTTCTTATATCAAAAGAGTCTACAGTAGTCGCTAAACGTTTAATTTAATGAACAGATCGCATCAACGTCGAGGAATACACACCCACTGGCCTGACAAACTGGGGTTACGAGTACTCGATGAGTAAGAAGAAAGGTCGTATCTTTCCACGAATGATCAATCAGTTGCTGCCTCATGCAAACGCCAACGGTCAACCTGCTTTCTCAGAGGAAGAGATGGCCTCATTTTTCTCTGCGCCAGGTCATGCCCCTACCTAAACAAGAGAAATAATTTAAATACACACAGTATATATCATATAGTTTGCGAAAAAAAACCCAACAATAGTATTGCTATTATTTCCATATAAATACAAGAAAGCATTATTTCATAGCTATTTTTTAAATCTATACATAGTCAAGCGCAGAGAAATTACAATATTGGCGCCTCTCCGTAGCACCATAGTCTTCTCATGTTGCTTACATGAGCCTCATCAGATGTGGTATTTCGTCGTGTCAGTTCGATAGATTCAACACCATGTCCGCCTTCTGTTAATGTTGGCACTTGTTGAAGTTGAGCAGCAGAACGATGCTCTTGTTGTTGCTGGTGGAGTTGCTGTTCGCGCAAGTGTGCTGCCGGAGGCTCGATCGGCATTCGCACCGCTTGTAGACAAAGTGGGCATGATGCACTCTTTTTGGTGAGCCAGGTATCTGAAGAGGAATTCATGTATGCGTCAATTTCGAAATGCATTTGACATATACTATCGCTAAGGTAGGCTTGCTCTTACCAATGCAATCACAGTGATATTCATGACCACACGGAAGTATACGCAAAACATCGCCTTGAACAAATGCTTCTAGACAGATCACACAGGAAACCTGTTCCTGTGTCAGCACCGTAGCTATGGACGGAGTGATAGTCTGTGCGTTTTCTTCTATATCTTCTCCCTCGTGTTCTGCTTTCATGTGTTGCTGATCCTCTCCAACATTATTGTCGGTGGCATCCTCGTCAAGTGGTATCGCATGCTCCTGCTTCTCACCGTACACGCGTGTTGGTAAGGTGTTGACTGTTTCGGGCGTCAAATGGCGTCTTCGATTGCGATTGCTTGCTACACCTGCTCCAACCACGGGACGCCAAATTCCATCTTCATCATTCAAAGTATCTTGGAGGCTATCGGTGTCATCCTGATTACCTCGTCGTCTCCGTCTTCCTATGCGCCAGAGATGACATTGCATTGCCACTTTGTGACAGAATAATGAGGTTGACTGCTTTTTTTTTCTACATGCAACAGACCGAAAGAAAAGGTTGGATATGTACCAATAATTGCAAGGCTTGTAACAATAACAACACCAATAATAATAAGGGCAAACTGCCAGGGATCGAGGCGAGGTCGCTGTGCAGGATACAAGGTGACGCGTGTTAATGGATTTGGATCATCTTGGAACTTACTGGTGCTTTTAGCTTCGTCTACAAGCCGAGACAGGTTTTTCAGTCGATCGTACATTTCCAAACCAATCGAGAGGTCAACATAGTATGCCGGGATGGAAATCGTATAGGGTTGGATGCACTTTTGAACTGTTGTTAGAGTATCATCCCGACGCGCACATCAATAAACGGCCTTATCTTTGACTTACCATGCCACGATCTGCATCTAGAACTTGGTCAAAGGATACATTGTTGTATATAATAGCTGCATCTGCGCCATCCAGTTGGGCATTCAACAACTTTTGACTAAAGAAGCATCCTCCGCGCTGGATCAGTGCGACTTTCGATACATTTGGAAATATCGCCAAGGAAGAACTCGGTAAAGCGTCCGGATCATTAGCCTCGCATGACTTGCCCCGATCGTAAAGGATACCTTGTAGACCTTCAGCGGGTGGATTGGGTACATTATCGGCTACAACAAGCTGGCTATTATATTGCCACTGGCCATAAACAAACTGTACGTGGGCATTTATACCATTGTTTTTGCTCGAAGGAAGCATCACAACATCTAGAAAGTTAGATTAGTTAATATTAATATTCAATTGAAAGTATGTTTTTACGACAAACCTTGCTGGATGCTGGCTGCTTTGCCTTTGAACCATTGGGATGCGTTGGGCAGTGTGATGGCTCCGACAATTAGCCAAAGTATCATTATGATGGCCAGTGCGTACATGATTGTAGGCACAAGACGCGACATGACGCTTTTTGTTTTGTTTGTAAAAAGAGAGGATACAAACAATCATTTGTTTTGAGAAAGGTTGTTTATTTCTCAACCGGGTTCTCGGACATTGCGACAAAATAAAAATCGACCTCGGAAGAATATTGGAACGCTAGTGTTAATGCGTGTGAGACTGGTGCGTGTATTAAACGTAGCTCACCACATTGGAAAATGCACATACAATGATAGGACCGATTGAATTATATGAAAAAGGTTTGATTTAAATTATTAGTGATAAAGAAGCGATATACATATAAGATGTGGTTGAAACTTAGAACAACAACTTGCAATAAGTATTACAGAGTAATATAGAGATTATCAACATGAATATGGTACATATAATAAAAAGTAAGAGAGCGGATGCTATTGTTGTTTCTCCTGGCTGTTATTGGCTTCGGAAGAAGTGTCAGCAACAATATTACTCGTAGAAGATTGTGCTATAGCAGTGCTCCTATCAGTGGCAGTATTATTCGAGCTTTCGGTATTGGCAGCAGGGGAAGAGGTTGACGGTTCTGATGATGATGATGATGATGACGATGACGGTGGCGCTATTAAAGGTGCTTCTTGTGCAATGTGAGGTGGTCGTGAGTGAGAGCTGTCAGCCACTGTAGCAGCAGCTGTTTCAGGTGTCCTGTCGGTCTCATGGGGTTCAGTTGCACTTGGATTACCAAGATCAACGCTCCCTCGAGGATGCTGCTGCTGCTGCTGTTCGTGTTCGACTTCTTGCCCGTCTGTCGCAGATTCTTCGGGTGGATCACAATCATACTTGCATATCGGACACAGGCAAGACTTTTTTGTCAGCCATACATCTAGTATACATAATTTCACAGAAAAAGCGTGTGATAAGTGATTTGCATTCTTAACAGGAGTTAAGCTTTCACACCACTTTCCAAGCTAATGGCGAAAAGCGCTCAATCGGATATGATTTTTTTACCAATACAGGCAACACAAAAGCCATGGCCACAAGGTAAAACGCGCACGAGATCGTCTTCTTGAAGTTCTTCCAAGCAAATTGCACACACGGAATTTTTGGTTCTGATTTCGTCGGTGACCAGTGATTGTACAGGGCACATATCATTCAACTTGGTCAAGGACATCTTACGTCGTCGATCTCCTGCTGTCGCTCCTGCTTGACCTGTGGGCTGCATATAAATACCGTTCTCTGCCGCTTCTAATGCATTACGTGGTGGGTAGCTTTCATCGTTGCGAGGGGAGCGGCACCATCGTAGAAGCACCACACCTGCAACTGGAAATGTGAGAATTTCGTATTATCTTATTATGAGAGAGAGAAATGCTCCCATCGTACTTTCTTTTTTTTTCTTCTTCTTGTTTACCTAAAATCAGCGCAGCACCTGCTGCAATCAGGTAAGCAAGGTACCCGCGCTCGCCAGTAAAAACGGTCCACATGTCGCTACGTCCATCGTCACCACCATTGCTACCACTGCCATCCCCATCTGCTTGACCACCCGTAGAGAACGTGGTCTCGGCAAAGAACATGGTGAGCTGGACGTAGTACTGCTGCATTGAGCTGGTAGGGGTGCTGGTGTAATTTTGGATCATATCCTGCAAAACACGGCCGTAATTGTTAGGCGCAAAAAAAACCGCCATGAAAACGGTGTCTGCTGACGGGCTGATGTCGTTATCAGCCATCTGATGTATGTTACGTTCCGAAGGCAGCGACTCGTTTGTCCATGTTGGATAAGAACCGTTTTCTGTATCGAGTTGCACGAACTCCGTGGACGAATAGGTCATGTTGTCATACAATAACGCAGCACCAACGTTGAGATCATATTGTTCCGAGATGGCTTGTGTATGGTCGATCTTGTCGGACCAAAGAGTGCACCGCCCACCACGCTGAATAAGCGCAATAGACGGTTGGGACATCATGGATGGACTTGTTGCTGTATTGCCGTTGAATGATTGAATATCGCTAATCGTTGTCTCGGCACATCCATCACCAAAATCCAGCAGTAGTCGCTTATAGATTGATCTCTGTATCAGCGTACACATACACATATATAGTACACATAACTCATCATGTAAACACCCATGTCCCACGTGTCCTGGCCATCCATCCATCATCCCCCCAACCTCTTCTTCCCAGTCGGCTCCTGTATCAACACAGCGCAAACACATACGCACGTCCAATGATAAAAAACAATTACCTCATTATGGCCATATAGATCGTCGTGAGCGTTCACTGTCTGAAAGTCTTGACTGTACAGTTTAAACGAAGTTGACGGCATATAAGCCTGCGATATATTTGAGCGCGCGACATCATACTCAACTACCACCTGCCTGTATGTTACAAGTTAGAAAGCTAGCGCAGGTTATAACTACTGATATCTCTCTTCTTTCCCGCCTCCCCTTTTCCAGCAAAAACTACCAAATAAACGGGTTACTCTGGCTAGCTTGACCACTGACTGTAATGGCTGGCCCCATTAGCAGTAGGAGCAACAGGAGGGCAAAAGGAACCCGCGTGTGCAAAGACTGATTCATCGAGTCATTCAAGCCGAGTGAGGTTTCTCTGCTTTTCTTTTTTTATATTTACAACTGAGAAAAAGAAGAGACGAGAAAAAACAAAGAAGAAAAAGGAAAGTTTAAAAGACAAAAGAAACTTGAGAATATCCAGAACCGCTACTGCTACAGAGTATACTCTACGCCACGCTTGCGTGCACAACAACATACGCCTATGTGTATATTTTTTCCCGGTGACAATAGCTCAGCACCTGTTTATGGGATCCAGTGCTTCTACGGCTTCAGTGTCCACACAGGTAATTCTGCCGTCGATAAGCAACTCGGTGATCATGAGGCCCGTGGCCGGTGCCTGCAGGATTCCCCAGCATGAATGTCCTGTCGCTAGTACCAGTTGCTTGTATGCTGGATGCGCGCCCACCAACGGAGTCCCGTCTTGCGATACAGGCAAGTAGCATGCCTGCTGTGCTATCAGCTCGCCAACGCTGCCACCGCACAGTTCAGGAGCCAGCGTATCCCTTAGCTGTTCGAGCTCACGGATGGCTTTGGGATCGACTTGAACTTGATCAGCCGCCGACGGCAGTGCCTCACTGTCCGTTGCTCCACACATGTACACTGTTCCATCCTAGAAGAAAAGAAAACGATTTAAGAGATGTGCACGCGTCATTATTGACATCTGCTATCGCTTGTCCAATTTCTTGGCAATCTTCACTTGTCGTTTCCCGCATGTCCATATGCATACGCGTACTTACGGGTCGTGGATAAACCTATAGTATTGTTATATACGTGCGATTACGTTTATATACTATATTTAGCAATCCTTCCATCGTGATGTTCTATCGATCACTGTTGCTTCCTGAGCAGTTGGGCTATGCAAGTTTTACCTCTGGATGATTTGCCCGCGTGCCATCTAGAATGGTCGTAAATAATGCTTGTGGAGGCACAGAATGTGTCGGTTGGAAAACAATCGAATGGGCACGCTGGCCAGCAATAGGCAGCTGCAGCGTGGGCAATTGGCCACTCCAAGGCCCCATACAAACTATCACAGCATCGCCTTCTATTATTTCTCCATTGTCCAGCTTGACGCCCTTGGCTTGGTCGTCATTGATGATAACGTGGGAGACGCCAAATCCGGTGCGTAACGTGACAGTATCGGTTGCCTTGGCAGCCTCAACCAAGGTTTCGGTAAACAACCGCGGGTGAACTTGAGCCGTATCGGCCGTGTTTCCCAACTGCTCCACATGCCTTATTCCTGAAACATCCACCCACGCCACTTGCAGCTTGCTGGTTTTTTGTTTCTTGGTGCTGCTGCTGCTGCTGCTGCTTTTGCTTCCACTTGTTTGATATAGAACCGAGTAAGTGTCCACCGCTCTATAACCGTAATTACTAGCGCCGTCAAGCTTCTCGGCCAGTTCGCCGTGCAGCTTAAACGATTTACGTGAAAGATCACCAATGGGGGTGTCATCGCTCCTACAATGCGTAGAATAAGAAAGCGCTGTTAGAACATTGGTTGCTTATCTATATACTCACACATTGCCTGGCATGAAAAAAGCGCACGATTTTGCATTACCAGTTGTAAGCCAAAAAACCACCTGCTTTGCCACTGGCACCACAGGCAATGCTCGTCTTTTCAACTAAAGTGACGTGAATCCCTTCATGACGCGATAAGAAATAGGTCGTGCAAGCACCGACTACACCACCACCTACAACAATAATATGTCTGCTGTTCATAGTGTACTTTATTGTTGCTTGTTGTTAGACGAAGGAAAGAAATTTTGTGCTAAACTATTCTTCATGCTGAAATGCGCTGATGTTTTATTGCGGACTATTTTGCATACACATGAGGCGATTTCCACGTTTCTGGGTATCTCTTGTGGGGGGATAATTACGTCTGTTACAAGCAGACCAAGTTTCTGGATACAAACACAAGATACATTCCGCCTAGCCCATGAACAGCATGCATGAAGTTGTGGCTGCTCATTGAATGGGTCTGAAATATGAAGTCCAAACTTTATCAAGAGCGTTTTATACACCACCTTTGAAAAAATCCAGATTCCCAGCTTTAATGGTGACTAGATTGAATTGTATGGATCCGTGCACGCTAACATGCACAAAAAGGCAAGGGAATCCATTTGCTTAGATTGATATTGGCAGAGTTGCTCTAGACTTGTAGAAATGCAGTTAAAAATACCTTAACTGACTGTGGCTCGCTGAGTAATCTGAAGAGCACAGCATACTGGGAGTCCAAGCACTTGCTACTGTACCACCATGTGTTGATATGGATGTATTTATCCCCTGTTTTCTATGTGCATTTCTATCAAAGTGCAGCCCGTGTTGTCCGTAACATGCCATAATCAACTGTCACATCTCTATTTAACTTCCTCTACACTCGAGGTGACGCTATGATAATTCTTGCCCCATTTTTTTTCGCTCTGTTTTCAGCATTCACTTTTTATGAGATGGATTCAAATGTCGAGTTTAGTAGCTTACTACAGACCGCTGTTTCGAGTTTAGAGAGCTATTAGAAGAATCCATGTAACAATTGAAAACCGGGATGTTTTGCGAAAAGAAAATTACAGAGGGCTTTGTCCCAAGTAAAAAGAACCCATTTAATTTATCATAGTTGTCTATTGCTCAAAAGTAGACAAGATCCAAAGATATGTCACGCAAAACGGTGCCGAGCAGGTTCTTCTTGCTGCACTTAGCTCATGAGGTAACTTAAGTATAACGAATCTTATAGGTTCAAGGAAGGTGCGGGTACACTGAAGCTGCTATTTAACCATGCCGTCTTAATAATGAAGATGTGCTACCATTCTTTCAATCTTAATGACAAAAATATATCATTTTCTTGGGTTGGTTTGTGGTTTGTGATTCTCACTGTCTCACGTCTGACGAGAAAGTTAGGTACCCTGTGGCATACGTAGGCATGATACAATCCCAAACTAAATGATGTAAATCTTCAAACTAGTCTTGTGTACTAAATATGATCTATTCATGTTAACGTCGAATAACGATTTCTCCGGTACTATCAGTACATGTAGTGGCATTGTTCTTGCAGTTCTTTGAAATCTTTATCCCATATACTGAATCTTGTATATATTACACATCACACACACCCAAGATTTACGTATAAGTAGAAGCGTAGTCGCATTAAACAAAGTTACGGAACTTTTCTTTAAGGCAATACGAAATCGATTGATAATCTCTCTCTCGACAGCTGGAAATCCCCTCCGCCAAGACTGCTATAGTCACTGATAGAGCTTTGCGGTTTAGACTATTTGGTCTAACCGCAAAAACCGCAAAAACCGCAAACTTCGGCTGTTGAATGATTTGACCTCAGTCCAGGGCTGGTGCAAAATTAACT